CAAGAGCCCCACTAAAGCAAACAAAGATCTCCATCATGGTGATATCAAACTTTATTATTTTACATAAAAAATCAACTTCTAACCATCTGTTAATTCTCAGTAAGAATGTTAGTATGCAATAAATAAAGTCTGGATTGTAATAAGTGAGGATGCAGAGATCTTGACAGATCTGTTAGTGTTTAATGTTCTGTTGGGATGTAAATTGTTTCTGTATGGTATGGTATGGCTTTATTTAACTGACAGTAACTGTGTAGTTGCTGATGCAGTGATGTATAGTCACAGTAAATCATGCATCACTTACATGTTTCTTAATAAAAAAAATCGTCTCAGTTACGTATGTAACCCTCGTTCCCCGAGTAGGGAATGGAGACGTTACGTCGGATGACGGAGAATGGGGGTTTCGCATAGAAAGCCAATCCTCTTCGAGTATTAATAAACGAGCCAATGGCATGAAAATGCCATGGGTCTGCGGAATTTGCATAGCGTATCTCCGCCACCTCGTGAGTATAAAAGGAAGAAGCGGACGCAACCGCAGTATGTCTTCGCTGAGGAGCCGAGACTGACCTGAGGCGTCTACCCAGCGTTACAGCGGAAGTGGCAGGGAGATGTAACGTCTCCGTTCCCTACTCAGGGAATGAGGGTTACATACGTAACCGAGACGTTCCCTTTCGTAGTCACTCCGAGTTACGTCGGATGACGGAGAATGGGGGTCCCCCGTGTAATCACGCCACCTTCACAGCTATCTTCCAGTACCCTGCGAAAGTCTGATCCCCTGTCGTGAACTTAGCACGGACGAGGAGTCCTACTTAGCACAGGAAAACCAAGGTACACTGGGGAGCATATCCCAGAAGAAATATGCCACAGTACGCCTACCCGTAGGGAGGATTTAAGAATACACATATGGCCCAAGAGGACTTCATATGGAGGAACACTGGAGTCACCAACCCGTAGGGTGGCTAGAATCTTAACTCCAGGGGTGGCAAGGTGGCTTGTCGAGGGAAGACACATGCTCAGAGAGGCTTACAGTGGAGAATACACATGTGGAGGTTACTAGCAGGAACCATGCACACGAAGGCACCTAGTTGACGCCCAGGCAACAGACACTGGCGCCAGCATCAACAGTGCTGGAGGACTCAGGGTTTCAACAGAAGGCTCAGCTGAGGAAAATCGCACTTATCCAGTCCGTGGAGTGGAATGGCGAGCAAGCGAAGACACCTGAGCAGGTCCAGTACTGGCCGGTTGAGCGAATACAAGAGGGGACACAGGCTCCACTCGGAGATTACAGAATCTCGCGACTGTCTTATGTGTCGCCCAGCCTGCAGCCAAGGGGGCACGGTCGACCTTGCTGCTGGTAAGCCAAAGCAATGATGTCCACAATCCAGTGAGACAGCCGCTGCTTTGAGAGAGCCCTTCCCTACTGGCTCCCACCATAACAGACAAAGAGCTGGTCTGAGGTCCTGAAACACCGCATTCTGTCTACGTAAGCCCGTTCCACTTCAACGCATAGACGTGTCTAGTGGACGACGCTCTAGCGGAAGTGATGGTAGCCACCACCGCAGGTGGCAGGGTACTCAAACCTGCCTTGTCCCATCCAGGAGACACACGTGTAGCCTCCACAGGTTGGGAGGAGGGTGCCACAGGGTACCCCTCCGAGTCGGCATTCGCCAGAGACTGGACGGGGCCGTGACAGCTCGTCGGCTGCCAGGTTCCGCTCTCCTGGAATGTAAAAGCGCGAAGGGACCTCAGGTGCTTCTGACTCCATAACAAGAGGTGGCGTGCGAGTTGCGACATCCGACGTGAGCGTAGACCACCCTGATGGTTGATGTACGCTACTGTTGCGGTATTGTCTGAACGGACTAGTACGTGTTGACCCCTGAGCAGAGCTCGAAAGCGGTGCAGGGCAAGGCGTACTGCCAGCAACTCGAGGCAATTGATATGCATAAAACGCTGGGGTCCTGTCCAGGAACCCGCGGCTACATGTCCATAGCACATGGCTCCCCAACCCGTGGCAGAGGCATCTGTGGAGGCAACAACATGCCTGGAAACTCGTTGCAAAGGGACACCGGTCCGTAAAAAGCTGAGGTTCGTCTACGGGAAGAACATTGACGGCAGGTCGGAGTTGCTGGAACTCTGACTGTACCGCATTGCCATGCCCACCTCGGGACTCGATCACGAAGCCACAGCTGAAGCGGTCTCATATGAAGCAATCCGAGTGCCGTTGCCGCGGCTACGGATGCCATATGCCCCAGGAGCCTCTGAAAAGTTTCAGTGGGACCGCACTCTTGCCCTCGAACTGTCGAAGACAAGTCAGCAGTGAGTGTGCGCGCTCGCTCGTGAGCTGCGTGGACATGGCGACCGAGTCTATCTCCATACAGAGAAAAGAGATCCTCTGCACAGGGCAGAGTTTGCTCTTCTCCCAGTTGACCCGTGTTTGCAAACCTGATCTCGAGAGTGTGATAGAAACAGCCAGTCGTCGAGGTAATTTAGGGTTGCCATGGCCAGTGGAGGCGCTGTGGGGACACATAAGTGTTGCCACAGAACACTCCACTGGGGGGGAGGGGGGTGCTTAGGGTTGCCATGGCCAGTGGAGGCGCTGTGAGGACACATAAGTCTTGTCACAGAACACTCCACAGGGGGGAACGCCAGTGTATCCTAAACCCCAGTGTACCCTAAACTCTACGAGGGCAGAGAAGGTGAAAGAGACCGCTGAGCAGTCGCGAAAGTCCAAGGAGACTTCCACAATCTCATGGCCTCTTCATGCACATCCAGGTAGAAAGGATTTTGGTTCGCCACGCCAGAATTTTCCACACAAACCCAACACTCGTGGCAGCCCGGGAAGCATAGCTGTGAACTCTGAATCTAACTCGCTATGCTAGCACATCCGAGGACAGCAGCACAGACGAGCCAACTCCAGAGAACGACAGCTCACCTTGTGATGCGGCGATAAACATGATTTCATCAACTGGAGGACTGAATGAGAACGCTGGCCCTTTAAAAAAAAAATTTTCTGCAGCCACGAACTGACTCGGGACCACGTGGGTTGCAACGTGAAAGACGGGGTGTGGACCGAGGAATTCTCGTCGGTTTAGTTCCAGACCCGACGTCTTAGATCACCCTGGCCACCAGTCGAAGTACCATCTCACGTGGAGAAAATAGTTCGAGTTGTGGATAAGGGGACCCAATGAGCTCACTCCCCAAACACGTCAAACAGCGCTCGCGCCCTTCAGCTGAATCTATCAGAATACCGCACTCAGAAATACACGGGCAGATTGCCTTTTAAAAGACGCGTCTTTAAAAAGACGTGCCGCGTGCACACTCTTTTAGTGACAGGAGAATACTCTGCGGATGCTGAAGCGACCAGGGAGAGACACACACACTGGCAGACCACTGCTCAGATCGCAGGCAATGTGAAACTCGCTGAATACCGCCGTCACACCAACACCAGAGAGTTCGGTCGTCTCGAAGAGGTGAGTCACAGTAGTTAACTCAGATTGTGTGGCTTGTGGAGTGAAGAAGTTCTCTTGGCTCTGAAGCGAAAACATACTGCGGTTGCGTCCACTTCCTCCTTTTATACTCACGAGGTGGCGGAGATACGCTATGCAAATTCTGCAGACCCACGGCATTTTCATGCCATTGGCTCGTTTTTTAATACTCGAAGAGGATTGGCTTTCTATGCGAAACCTCCCCATTCTCCATCATCCGACGTAACTCGGAGTGACTACGAAAGGGAACTAACAATTTTAGGTTATACTGGACGCTATTCTATTCTACAATATTAAAGGTGCTCTATGTGGTTTTTAGCGGCCTCTAGTGGTGATGTTTTAGATTGCAACAAGAGTGCTCGTGCTCGTTTGCGTGCGTGTTCGATCTCAAGAGCGAGCATTCACTACCGGCCACACGGAGACTTTCAACGCAACGGAGAAAGCATCACAACATGCTGGAAACTCATGTAAACTCCCACTGCAGGTACAATAATAGCCTACTTTTATCAGCTTGACGTTGAACTAATGCTCTGTGCTCGTCCATGATAATGTTACAATAAACTGCAATTAGCCGACCTGTGAGGTTATATAGCATAAGCCATTTCACTAACTATTTGTGTATCTTTTACAATCAGCAATGTCAACACAGGTGAATGAATAATATGATAACGAAAACGGTTAGTGAACTAGACTAGTGAACAATTTCAATGTAACAGTAAGATCGTATGAAGTAACATTACTGAACATGTCTGGAAATGTGTAGAGGGATGACGACGTTAGTCAGTAGATCTAGTAATACATTTTGTGGAACATTCTTTTGTATTCATTTCATGTTTAATGTAGTTTACCTTGCTATTTCACTAGAGTTTACTAATATGTTGTACTAATATGTTGCCGATGTTGATCCGCGTTTTCGTCCGGAGTCGATCAGATTCACGTTTTGCCTGACGAGCTTCAGCAGAATTTTTTTTTGTTTGTTTTTTATATTTATGTGGAGTTTGTGTTGTGCTGGAGGTTATCAGACTCCGTGTCGTCAGCTGAAGTGCTGTTGCCGCATAGGCTAGACTGTAATAAGGATAGAGTGGCTCGGGAGCGCGCTTGCACGTCACATCTGAGATGACCTCACATATAAATATGAATATTGGCCTTCAGAGGTAATAGCAAAACCCAAAAAGTGGATCATTGGAATGTGTGATTACAACCCCTTCAAACACAGGGAATAAAAAAAGGATTCATTTTATAAAAAAAGTTACATATAGGACCTTTAACTAATGACAATAAAATAGACCATCCTAAGTCAATTTATTGCAGTAATTCCTCGCTCAACCAGTAGTAAATTCTTTGAACACCTGATTATGCATGAAAAACAAATTTTAAAAATAAGTCATAAACTGGAAAACCGGCTTAATTCTGAAAAAAACAAAAAAAAAAACGTGATATCAATTTTTGGTCAAACCGCCCAGCACTGGGTAAATGATTAACTTGTTTGATCGAGTTGTGGATCCCCAAGCAAGGAAGAGTTTCAGAGGCAAAGACTAAAAAAAGACCCTTGTGAAGTGAGCTCAAAATGACAGATCCTCTAAAAGTCCTCAGCTTCATCTTTTGGTTGTTTTCCTTCTATAATGAGCAGGATCAAGGCAAGTATTGTTCTTTATTTGAATGTCCTTTTCATTAAGATTCTTATGTCTTGAATACTGCATGCATTTCTTTCTATGTCCACAAAAGGATCATATTTGGCAGTGAATAGACACCAGCATGAAGCTCTTAAAAAATCTGCAAAAGCATCACAGAATGGTCCGTCCGACCCGTATCATACATTCAAGTTCTGGGAATACAATAGAGTTTGACGAAAAATAAACCGAAAATAAATGCATTATTTAATGACAGTCCTGACCTTGGTTGTTGGTTTCTGATTGCCGCACTTGCCAATTTTCTTGATTTCAAAATGAATGGATAAGTGTGGAAATGACCTAACTGATTTAATCCAGTACCGTTCAGTAAAATCTGGAGACAAGTCTTTTAAAGTCAGTCTTATGAATGTTTAGGGGAAATTAAATCAAAATAACCAATGGGACACAAATACAACCATTCGGAAAAGGTCATGACAGACGATAACAGTTGTTGCTGCAAAACTTCTGATGATTTTTTCAACATTGTATATAAACCAAATTTGCTTTAATTTCAGTAATTTAAGTGTTCTCTCCAGTTCATACACTTACTTCTATAAATCCACATTAACACATTAAATCATACTCATTTTCTTACTCTTTGGCAGGGAAACTTACATTAACGCTGAAGCCACCAATTGTGAGAGAATTATTTGTCAATAATAAAGTTGTCTTGGAAGCTGTTGTTTCTGGTGCTTTAAACTGGACAGTGCAAGAAGCTTCAGTGTTGTGCAAAGTGAAGAATACCCCTGTAAGCAGTGAAACAGGAAATATCCACTTTTCTCAAGACATTTCACAGTTTACAAGAATCCACAAAATCACCGTTGATTCAAAGGCATGGTTTGATGGGGAAATGGTCACGTGCAGTCTTCATGACACGAATAATAACAGAGACATCAGGAAGGAGATTCATTTTGATAAAGGAGGTAAGTCAATCCAAATGATCAACATTGAGGCTCTATGTGCATTCATAGTCCATACACAAAAGAAATATATTTCAAATATATTTTTGGTATATATGAAATTGGCCCAATGAATTTATTTTAGTTATTTAAATATATGTACATTTATTTTTATTTAAAATATGTTTTAGCTAAATATGTAAATATATTTTATGTCAATATGTTTACTAACAACATATGTGTTCATATGTTTTGACTTTTGCAAATGGTTTCATTTGAAATATCTTTTCAGAATTGAATACAGTTTAATAGTGTGAGTTCTATCTATTGTTAAAGTGTACATCACTGTTGGAGTGTCATTGGTATACGTGTATCATAAATATTGTGCATATTTTCAATATTTAAATGACTTCAGGGAAGATGTCAATTAAATAGGTACGTGCCACCTAATATGGCCTAATAGTCCTAGGAAAGCAACTATCTGTCATTTTACACTGCAGTCATTTAAATGTACAGTATTTATTATAGCTGTGTGTCATAATACAGTAGTGAAATTTGGTGCCTACTGTTGTGTATCGGGGAAAAGGTAGAGGAATTACTATGATCAAAATACATTTTCGACCCTTCTTTAGCAAGATAAACATTTTATGAGCAAATATTTTGTCATATATTTTACATTATACGTTATAAATGTGAATGTTTTGCACACACTTAACATCACATATACTTTTGTTGTATTTGAGAATATATTTCAAAATGACATTTATTTTTGACACTATACAATATTTTCAATATATTTCTTTTGTGTATGGGAGATGATGAAAGGTGGAACACCGTTTTGTTGTATGGCAAAATAAATAAATGCAAGCACATTTGAAATGCTTAGACACGCTGTCAAAAGCTGGCCTGTTAAACTCTTGATATTCAAGTTTGATACTTCTGTTTTCTGACTCTTTCCATTTCAGACGGGCAGAAACCCAGTGTTGTCATTTATAGACCTGATAGCAGCATTAACGCAGACACAGTCTCTCTGGTGTGTGAGGTCACCGGCTCTAAACTTGGCGATGTCAATATCATGTGGAAAGTGGGAGAGGAGCCTTACATAGTGGGATCAACCAGCGCTCATATCCACCAAAAGAACTCAATGTCTGTTCTAAGTCTTCTGACAGTGTCGAAACAAGAGTATGACGATCTCCAAACCCCCTTCACCTGCGCAGTCAAACACGCCAACACGGACTATATAGGATCCCCATTAGAAGTTACAATGACGAAAAGTAAACAGCCAGAATGTCCAGTTTGTGTACATGATTATAATTGAACAAGCAACTCTCCCAAAAGATCATGATGTCTATCTGTTGTTCACTTGTGCGTTCTCCAGTGCTTCTGTCCTGTTGTTGTCTGCTCAGACCATAAATCTTATTTTGTGCAATTTTCTGCATCATTGTTCTTCAAGGGTCAAACATCAAAGCCAAATTACAGTCAAATTAATAATTTGTCATTGCATGCGAATAAATATGCTCACATGAAAACATAGTAAGCATAAAATCATAGTGTGAAATATCATTGATTTTAAAGAGAAGAAAATGATTGTGATTCTGTTATTCATGCCCTTCAACATTTTCACATTCTGTTAACTAAAAATTTTGATTTCAAATCCAGAACAACTCATTTTTGATTTGATTGTGTTGTTTATTAAGCAATAAATATTTGTGCTTACATGCTTTAGTCAAGTACTTGTGTGGTTTTTAACATCAGACACCTTTGTGTGGTTCATTTTCTGGTCCCTTTATATCAGTATTTAGAGAAGCAAGAATATTATGTTTGTCTCTGCGATGTATGCAAATGAACACGTGAATGCATGCAGTGCTTGAGTGTTTATCATGAACAGCTAATCATGATAAGCCTTCAACAACTCGTTCAGTCTTTATATAAAACATTTCCCTGAAAGTTTGAGTAAGAATAGTTTGGAAGAGCTATATTGCTGTTCAGAGAGATGACGTTTAATGTCCTCAACAAACTCTGTTGTCTCATTTAGCCAATGTTAGCAACCACATCTGACACATGTGGAAGTGTAATAGATCAGGAAATTTTCTCTGTTACGTACTTGTAGTTTTCCTCCTAATCAGCAGGGGTCAGTCTCCTCTCCTTAGGTAAGATTAGAAACTCCATGTTCAGAAAGTCCACGAAATTCCTATTCCAGGAATAGGAAGAGATGGTTAGAAGCATAGATATCCACAATAAAGGCTAGATGTCTTACGGCGGAGTTTCTATCGTCATCACCGTATTGTCACAGGTAAGCTGATGTAAGATGAGTGATCAGCACAAACACAAATACTCTTATCTCGTTGAAATCTTGACGGATTTACAAACGGTTTGGTTTCTTACAAACGTTATTAACGTGACCATAATTCTGGATGATTATTTATTTATACACTTATTATTCATAAGTATGCAGTGTCATAGCTACATCTCTGACGTTTATACCAAACCAAACTGAAAATTGAGCAAGTTATGGTTATTTAAAAAGTACATGCATCATTAAAACACAATGTTACGAGTGAGCGAGCTGCCTGTGACAAGATGGCCGCCAGGTGCGGACGTCGACCTCCATTGGCCAGCAGTGCGGACGAGATATCTAGCCTTTATTGTGGATATCTATGTTTAGAAGAGTGACTGTTAAGATTTAAAAGGACTAGTGTGTATAGGTGATGGGTCGGAAAACTAGTCGATATAAGTAGTGGAAAGTTGTCAGCGATAAATTTAACACTGGTATCAGATAATTTAGCTAGAAAGAGTTCTTGGATAGGAACAATATAGGAAGCAATTCATTTTCCAATTTTTTGTAAAATAAGCATTCATATTCAAAAAGAGGAGGTAGAAAGAATGGAAAGATAGAAATTTAAAAAGGCTAACTGGGATCAATTTAAAGAGATTTGAGGAAAATATTTGGAGGGCTTGTCGGATGAAATGGAGGATATAGATAAGTTTAAAGAGCCCCTATCATATTTGAAATGTTCCTATTTTTGTTTTAGGAGTTCCCAAAAACAGTTTAACGTGCATACAAGGATAAAAAACACTTTATTTGTCTTATAATATGCATTTATTTTTAACTGATTTGCTCAACGACTCCCAAATGATTCATTCAACGATTCATTTTCCCAAACACCTCCTTTTGAGTGACGCAAATCTGCGGCGATTGGTCAAATGACCTGGTCAGTGGGTATTGGTAAACCGTAGGCAGAGACTGTCGGCAACGGGACGCCCATAACCAGGATTATAGCTTGTCAAGTGTTGAAAATTGTATATAGTGTTTGAATAAACGTGTCAGAAAAAGTGCACTTTCCACACGGTCCCTTACTCGCGTCTCCGTCAAGAGGGAGCTTTCTCATTGCGGGGGCTTTTGAGGGGCAGTGCTTATTATATAGAGCGAAGTCATATTTGGCTAAGTCGTATAGGAGGTAATTGCCATTTTTCAATGAATGTCTGGTGAATATCAAAAACAAAACTAACTTTACCCCGCTTAGAAGCTGCGCAGAGTGTACACAACACACACAACACAATAACTATATTGTGCACAGCAAACATAACATCAAACATTATTAATATTACTTCCAGATTCGGAGGAGGACGAACCTGATCCATATACACTGGATACTGAGCCCTCCTTCAGGAACAATCGGCTTGCGAATCCACATTTGAATTCATTTAGGTTTTTGAATTTTGAATGATTCGTGATGAGAACACAAGGTTCGGGCTATACTGTTGCAAATATGAACTCTAACCACTGATTCTTCACATGCTCGTCCCTGGACAATGGAAACAAGTGGCTGAACTGTCTTTGCAATGTAGAAGACAGCATCTTCTCGACATGATGCGATTCAGCTGAAGTATTTCCAGACGTCACTTCAAGACTGCGCGCGCAGTTGTTGGGAGCGGCCAATGACCTATCTACGTCACGATGTAACAGCTAATGACTCGTTTCAAAAACAATTCATTTCATAGACTCAGAGTCGACTCTCACTTTTGAAAGACAATAACTTTATATACAGTGCACTTTCAGATATAAATCTTTGCAGGATGTTTTCATTCCCTTAGAGCTATATTCCACACTACATGAACAGTCATTTTCAAAAATCCATGATAGGGGCTCTTTAAAAAAAATAAAATAAAATAAATAATATATATATATATATATATATATATATATATATTGCAAGGCGATATGGCGAGTTCCTTGTTGGAATGAGGAATAAACCTCTTGGAAAAGAAAGAAGTTTTAATTTTATTTAATTTAATACACTATGGGTATAAGCAATATTGAGGCTTGTTTTAAGAATAACAAAGAGAAAATATTGGAGGGAAATGAATGATATATGGGGACGATTAGGAAGATGAGGGGGATTCAGAGATACTCCAGTTCTAGGAGATAAAAATAAATGAGCAATTACAGAATGGGAAAAGCAGAAGTATTAGCAGAAACCTTTGTGAAGGAGATGAGAAGATACAGAAAACTATAAGTTAGAGAAAACCTTAAAATCTTAGAGAAAAGAGGGCATGTGGATAGAGGCTGAGTTACATTGTATGAAATGAAGAGAGCAGTATTGAGGGTGAGAAAGACTTCTCCAGGAAAATATTAAATTTGTGTTGATAGATGATAAAATAAAAAGGTAATACAAAGATTGTTTAATAAAGTATGGGAACAGTGGAAACTTCCATCAGAGTGGAAAAACACAATCATAATGCCGATTGCTAAGCCAGGGAAAGATAAATCCAAGCAGTTATAGGCTGTTGTGGCTAAGTGGGATGCCAAAGAAGCAGAACGGTTATGTTTTACAGACTGATCTCATGAAATGGCATATGTTTGACATGCCAATTCGTATTTCCATTTTTGGCATGCTTTCAACAAGAATAATCGCTTTTCAGCGTGTTTATGAACGCCGTTGACTTAACGTTACATTACTGTATATATAAATATATGACCAACCCCGTCTCTAAACCTACCCGTCACTGGGGTTAATAACATTTGAGTCTTCCATACCATCCTAGGAAAAAAAGTATCGCTCCCCAGGTGAAGATCTACATTTTGCTTCGTTTCGCTCGGACATTTAACAGCGTGTTCATACACACGGAATCACTCGGACATTTAACGGCGTAGACATACAAGCATACACGCGGATAGCTCAAAATGCGTATAGATAACACACCACTTGACTTGAAAGTGCCGTGTATGTTTACGCAAAAGTCATGTCATGTTGTGTTTTAAAGACTCACTGAAGCAATGGTTGAAGAAAGAACCCAAAATCTATTAACTACATAGGCCAATAGCACTTACCTATATTGTGAAAACTTATGGAGAGAATGGTAATGTCAAGATTGGTGTATTTTACAGAGAAAAATGGGCTATTTTCTAAATTCCAGATTGGATTTACTGTTAACAGTATTTACAGTAGCCTACTATTTACTGTGGATTCTGGCGTCAGTCTGAAGATGGCTAAAAGAAAGGCTCGAATGTATAAAGAGATAGTAGTTGGGGTGTTTTTGAATATAGAGAAGGCTTAAGATATGTTGTGGCTTATGATATTTACACAGATTGTCTTACAGAAAAGGGGAAAAAAAGAAATGTGTGTAATGAAAAGCCCGCAGGGAGCAGTAAATTAGGTTCAAAAACAGCAAATGAGTGGGGTTTTCAGTTCACCAGTGTTTGTGCCCAGACAAAGAAACACTGAGAACAATATATGAAGAGTTCAGATGCAAAAGCCTCTAAATGCCATTTGAAATTTTCTTCTTTAATGATGATTTTTATCAAACTTGTATATTTAAGTTCAGTGATTTCACTTAAATAACAATTAATAGGTAATTATCATTGCCATTTAAGTGAAATTACTGAACTTAAATATACAAGTTTGATAAAAATCATCATGAAAGAAGAAAATTTCAAATGGCACTTAGAGGCTTTTGCATCTGAACTCTTCATATAATGGGGATAAAAAAATAAAAAACACTGGACGTGTGCAAGTCAAGTCAACACCCAAAGCATGCGCCCCGAAAACCAGCGTCTCAGACAGCGTGTGAATACTGAATTGAGGTATTTCACATCTTGCGCTTGTGCGGACGAATTCACACAAAATTATGTAAAAACGCCTGTGTTAGACGGTATGGGGTCCGTGCGTACGGTCTTAAAAGGGCAGCTGTGGTGAAAGACTCGGATGAAGATGTAACTTTAAAACATCGAGATTTCCATGCATGCGTCGTGGAAATCTCTTGAACTCTCGTCTCAGGCCTTCAAGGAAGAAAAGGAATAGTTGAAAAAAGTCATTATTTTTGTTTGTTTTTTCGCCCAAAAAGTATTCTCGTCGCTTGATAAACTTATACTTGAGCCACTGTTGTCACAGTCAGCAGTGATCCAGCTCACAAATTTAATCAAAAATATCTTAATTTGTGTTCCGAAGACGAACGAAGGTCTTACGGGGTTGGTACAGCATGGGGGTGAGTAATTAATGACTTAATTTTCATTTTTGGGTGAACAAACCCTTTATGGTGTGAAAGTAATACAGACTGTGTGCAGTGTGATCCAGGCAGATAATAAATGATATCAAAGCAAATTAGAATATCAAGAAAAATATATTTTAATAAACTAAAGTAAATTGAGTATAACAATTACAGGTCTGATAAAAATAATAATGTAAAAACAAGTAACAGAATCAAGTAAAAATAAAAGGTTCAGTAGGAAATAAACTTGAAAATGAAATAAACACATGAATCTAGTACTAATTTTAAAACATGACTAAGTCCAACTAAATATACCAAGTATTGTATCTAAGTGATGAAATATTAAGTATAGTAAAATGAGTAATGTAAGGAAGTAAGGTCTTTGCAAAATGCAAAGTATTAAGTTCTGAAAGTATATGCATGAGAAAACCTAGACATTTTATAGCATGTGCCTACATGACTAAAAGGTTCTGGAAAGTACCTTTCCCAATTGCAAAATGTTTAAGATATTTAAATAAATGGAACTGATAAATGGAATAGAAACCCTGTGAAATTTCTGAATGTGATCTGAGGAGAATCTGAGGAGAGTCTCCATATTTATTTGAGCCATTAGATGTATTTATCCAAACTCTCAATGGCATCCTGTTTAGAGTATTTTCTCCATTCATCTGGAATCTTACCACTCCCCTCAAATGTTTTATTGTAGTATTTTTCCAGATGTTTCTGGAATCTGCACACAAACCACTTCCAGTAGGGCAGTTCAGAGAGATCAGGAGTGATGCTCCAGTTAGCATAATCTTCACCTGCTTTTCTGTATTCTCTAAAAGGGAATCTTCCATCTGATGTATAAAAATACTGATCACTTGCCACTAAATTTGTACAAATATCAGCACAGTGATTTGTTGTTGAATGGCAAAATGTGCCATTGATTCCTCTCAATCTGTGGAATTCAACACTGTGATCTCCATGATGGTTTTCTATGATGTTGGTGCAGACGGCTCCACAGAACGGACACTGAACCCAACAGCACTGACAGAAGTGATCAATCAGAAGCTCATCTGGCCTGAAATTACTGTCCAGGTTTGCTGGGAAAGTCTTTCTGTTCAATCTACTGCTGATATCAGACATTATTGCAGGAAGTTCTTTTCGGATCGCATCTTCAAGGAGGTTAAAATTATCAACATCATGTTTCACTGCTCTGAGGTCTTTTACAGAGAAGATCAGCACATCTGAGAGCTGCTGTGTGAAACTCTTCAACCATAAACCAACATCTCTGTTCTCTTGAACATGTTCAGTAGATTCATGTGCTGCTTTCATGATCTTCTGCTTCAGGAGTTCAATGTTCTCCTTCATCTTGGGTAAAACACTGACATTGAACTTATCAGTGATGTACCGACTGACTTCATCTCTGATGAACCTCTTGAAGTAATCTTTGGGATTATAAATGTAGTTCATGTATTTGTGACAATCCTCATTCTCTGCCAGTGACTTCAGGATGTGTTTTTCTAGATTTGATCTGTTTCCATTCAGCGATTCACAGTTTTTCATTATTTCATCCGTCAGATTTCTGGCAGTCTTCTTGTAGACACTCTGTTCAATGGGCTCTTTCAGTTTCTGACAGATTATCACTCCAAAAATGGCAGCAGATGTCGCTCCATGACAGTATTTCTGGAAAATACTGTAGTATTGTTCTCGTTTCTTAAACCATATTGTTTCCCTGAACAGTGTGTGTTGGTCAATGATCGTATTAATTGCTCTCTTACAGATGGAATAAACCAAATCCACAAAAAATTCCTTCTCAAACACATATTTCTCTGATCCATCCTGATGTTCTGTTACTTTTCTCTTGATGTAATCTGTAAGTAGTTGAATGCAGCTGATGTTGTAGCCCATCTTTGAAATATTAAATGACTCAATCATTCTTTCTGTCTGCTGAGCAACATCTGTGATTAATGATCTTATTTGGGTTTCATCTTCTTTAGAGAGACTGTGACTAAATGTCTCTTTAGCCGTCCTGTAGAGATATGTGAAAGATCCTGTAGATCCACTGGTTTTCTTTAACCGTACATAATCTGCATAACTGGTCACATGGAAAATATTTTTCCTCTTCCTCTTCATTACAGAAGCACTTTCATAGACATCACTGAGGATCTCTTTCACATCGCTTTTTATGTCAATATCTCTGATTGCAGGAGTATCTCTGATTATCTTTTTCACACACTGTTTCCAAAACAAATCAAATGTTTTATTCAGTGCTTCTTCATCATTTGCTTTGTATTTGAGTTTTAAGCCAAGTTCTTTGCTCTTTTCATAGAGAGTGTTTTCATGATGTTTCCTCTGAGATTCAATGCTTTTCTTCAGGTCCCGCTGCTGAAGAATCTCCTTTAATTTCTTCGTTGTTTCTCTCACAATGTTTTCCTGAATATCTTTGATTTTGATTTCAAATGACGTTTTCCACTGAATCAGTATTTCTGCATCTAAGTCTTTCCCAAATAATTCTGACATTGATTTCTCCACTTCATCACTTGTATTCTTCAATTCTCTTTGAAGATCGGTTTCCTCAACCCCATTAATTGCTCTATTTTCTATTTGGTTGAGTAATTTGTTCTCAGTTTCCATCATGGCACAGTGAAGACTCCAGGACCACTTGTTGTATTTTGTCTCCAGTTTCCTGTAGGCCGAAATCTCCAGAGAATTTCTGAAGCTTAAGATGAATCGTTCCTTGAGTAAAGCCTCCCAGAGATCTTTAATACGATCTTTTAGGTCTATCAGCATCATTATATCTGATCTCGAAGCATGTGAAAGTATAGTTTTCTTTAGTTCTTGAATATTCTCACAGTAGTTTGGGTTTGGTGGTGCCATCGGTGGGTTTCCCTCCCAGAGCTGAGCAAAATACTTCACATCTTTCTGAATATCAAATCTAATGACATCACTGAAACATTCTGCATCATAGACTTCCACTTCAGCAGCAAGTTTTGTCATCTCATCCAGTGTCTGCAGCAGTTGCCTCCTTCCCTCCTCATTTTTCTCTCCAGCCGTGACGTCTGAGACGTTCTGATGCACAAACACACAGCTGGGATTCAGTTTGACCATCTTCATCCTCAGGAAGGCCTGAACAACAATCTGAAGAATGTCCTGCATCTCAGATGGGTTTTCTCCAAAGATGTTGATTAAGGTCAGGTTTGCAAGACCAACAACAAATGTGGCCAATTCATTGTCATGATGTCTTGTTGAACTTCCAGATAGTTCTAGAGCACAAAGACCCTCAGTATCAACAACCAGAATATAGTCAAAGTTCATCTGTGTTTTCATCTCGTCTGAGACTTTGACCAGCTGCATGAAAGCTCCTCTGGTGCACCTGCCAGCACTGACGGCAAACTCCAGTCCAAACATGGCGTTCAGCATGATGGATTTCCCAGAGCTCTGAATCCCTAAAACTGACAGCACAAAGACTCTCTGGTCTCCCAGTTTCTGGATGAGTTCATCTAGAACAGCAGAGATCCAGATCACAGGAACATGAGCAGCATCTCCATCCATCAGCTCCAGTGGAAATCCAGAGATCATCATCTCTGCTGCGAGACTCGGGAGAGAAGAGAAGTCAAACTGCAGATCTTTCTTGTTCTTCTTCACAGATGAACATGATTCATAGATCTGACCGATCTCCCTCATGATGTGCTCCAGACCAAAGGATGTAGCTTGAAGATCCTCAGATATTCTCTCAAGTTCTGCTTGTTCAGCTTTGATCTGCTCAGAAAGATCAGCCGATGTATGTTCATCCAGCAGGATTCCAAGCCATTTGATGAAAAACACATTCTCACGTTGAGTATGTAAGTTCATTTGTTTTATAAAGATTTTTATAAACACACTGATGTCAGATTCATGCTGCTGTTGACGGATTTCCTGCATTTCTGTTTGTTTTCTACTGATGTCCATTTCTGTCTCGTGTGCTTGAGGTCGATGTAGTTCTTTGTTCTTCTGACTCCACTGACGCCACAGTTTCCCCTGATGAGGCAGAAATGAGTCTTTGATTTCTCTCAGATCTTTATCCTTCAGTAAACTCATCATCTGCTGTGCTGCTTCTCTTCCTATCCTGCAGTCTTCATCATCTTCCTCATCTACTCTGATGTCTGAGTGTTTGGACACATCTTCAAGTCTGAAAGTGGAAGATGTTTCTGAGAGACACTCATTTATGGCTCTTCTGAGTTCTTCAGATACTTCTGACTGATTTCTGTCTTTCAAACTGATATTTAATTTCCTTTTCTGCGTCTCAATTACAATATATTCATCCTCATTAAAAATGCAAATGAGTGGCTTTCCGTTTCTGTACAGGTTTTGGATTATTGTTGCACTTTTGTCATTGTTTTGAAGTTGCGGTAGAAGAACAACATTGACTGAGGCCATTTCAGTGAGGATCTGCAGCTGTTTCTCATGATCTCCTGCATCACCGTGTAGATTACAGAACGCAATACAGTCAGAGTATTTATCTTCATATGATCCAGAGGGGCAGAACCAGGCGATCTCCACCACTCCATCCATCAGGACTCTGGTTCTGCTGCTGCCTGGACAGTTCCTGTGGAAGAACGTGTTGTGTTTCTCATTGATCAGACTGTTCATCAGATGAGACTTGGATGAAGACACAGAGCCAAACCTGAAGAAAGACACCATTGGAGTTTGTGCATTGTAGACCGGATGGGTTTGACTGATGGTCTTATTGTTGGTGTTTCTCATCTTCCAGCTCTTGTTGATTTGTCTGAATGTCCAGAGAGGAAACTCAATCTGTTGTGTGAATGGATCAGGAACAAGCAGAGGCAGAGCGTACTGACACTGGGACAGTTTAGTGACCATCAGCTGCTTCAGTAAACCATCAGCACAATGAAACGCAGCCATTTGAACATCCATCGGGTGAATGCGATCAGATTGACTTGTTCCTTTGTTAGACAAAGATATGTCATGTAAAACATGACCCTTGTCTTCAGATGAGTTATTGTTTCTTTGTTGAGTGTGATCTTCTTCAGTCTCTTTAGTTTTAATGTATCTCACTCTGTAGTTCATCATCAGTAGTTTTTGTATGAAAGTCTGAATCAGCTCTTCTTCAGCACAAGACTCATGGGACTGTAATGAATATACAGATGTTAACTGAAGAACATCTGCAGCTCTCAGTTTATTGCGACAGTTGCCTTCAAGATGAAGTTTGCGTAACAGATTATCCATTTGTTTTGTGTCTTCCTGTTGTAGGTGTTGATCTGCTCTGACTTCTGTTCCAACGTTCATTTTTTCCCCCTTTTTAATAGAGAATAATACAATAATTTAAAACCATTAACAATTATTATTATTATTATTACTAGGGGTGTGCGCGAAGCCAAATACCTTATTCGGAAAGGCCCGGATAATTGCTTTAAAATGAATAATGGATAATGAATAATTCTGCTGAATAATATATGACACAGTCACTCCTCGTGTTTACAGGATAAAAAAGGGGAAAGCACGGTATTATACATAAACCTTGTTTAAAGTGTAAATTACATTTTTCAATGCAATGTGCTTACTAAACATAAAGATAAGAACTGCCCACCATTGTTTTGTATGTTTTTATACCATAATGCTGCATATAATATGAAAAGTTGGTAATTTTTACAGTGGTTTTAAGCAATCCCCCTTCCATCCACTAGGCTGGGCGTGATGTCACAAAAGGGACTCCAAGAACGGCAATTAGGCTAGCAGTTATATTGGAGACCTAGCTAGCAAACATTTTTAACTACTGTGTTTGTGCGGGATGTACGAATCAAAAACGGGGGATAGGCTCCAGAAATTCCCCAAGGACAAACGGCTGATTTGTGCCTGGTTGAGATTTGTGGCTACGAAGCGGGCAGATTTTAGTGCTGCCTCGGCCCGACACATTAACTGTAATTATGAGCCCAAGCCCGATTTAAACCCGACTATTTTTAATAAGTGGGTCGTTATAACAGTTATCCACTATTCTCTATGTAACTTTCTCCAAAGCATGTATTTGTATGTGTGTATTACAAATGTCTTCAATTTTATGTTTTAGTCATATATATTTCTAGTTTGCGGGAGTCCCGCAAATAGTTTTTATTCTCCCTCAACCCGTACACAGAGAGTGAGTGCATTACCGCCCACACTCCCTCTCATGATGTCATCACCCAGTTACTGTAAAAAACAGTTTTAAGAGAATTTTAAGACATTTTAAGACATCAATGTTTAAATGTATACATATTTAGCACTTTAATTTACACATGAATTGGTTGTGGTGGTTAACCTGCAATTTACACTTTAAATTCACTACGCAATTTTTTTTTACACACGTTTCACTATTTTATATGTATATTTCAGTTATTTAAACTTTACAATTTGATACACAAATGAATGGAATAAGTAAAGCTAGATCGCAAATAAAAATTATCTAATAAGTCACATATACATTTTCTACTATTTGATATGTCTAAATAAATGTTTTAAACTTCACTGTAAAAAATGATTTTTTGGTTAAGTAAATACTAGTGAAAAAACCCAATGTAATTTAATTGAAAAAGTTAGTTCAGGCAAGAATTTAAAAAACTAAGTAAATTCCATATCAGTACTTATTTCAAGCGAGTATAAATGAAAGTGTAATATCAACTCAATAAAATTAAGTAAAAATTACTCAACTTTTCTGATGGGGTTCCCATCATGCACTGGACCTTGAATAATTAATGAGGTTCATTTTTCACTGGTTTCCAGCTGTATTTACACTGTTTTATCATTGATTTTGGTTTTCAGTATTAGTAAATTGCCATTTTGTGACATTTCGAGTAAATTTTTTGCTTAAAACGACACATTCAAACACAAAAACGATCCATCAAATGTTACCACCACTGTGTATTGTCTACCAAGTATTGAGGTGTTTGCATTCACATAAGGCTTAAAGTCTGACATGATGTATATATAAATTACTTAGATGATCTAAGTAAAGAACATACTATAAATGACTAATAAAATTCAAGATAATTGTTTTAGTGAAGTGTAATACAAAGGCAAAGGAAATCAGTATTAATCAACCTTTTACAAGCTGAGTTAAAATTACTTATTTTTTTGTAAAGTTTACTTAATTCCACATTCCAAGTAAATTTAACTTAAAGATTTCTAATTAAAGCTACTGATAAATATGTTTAGGTTTTTACTTGGCAAATCTTTGTAAATTTACTAGCATTTTCTGAGTGATATCGTTTAGCAAGGTTTTTTCAAGTAAATCCTACTCCAAATTTTTTACAGTGTTTATCTGATACGATATGCTACATATTTCTCAGCAGGTATAATTATTAAAATTAGTTCAGATTTTCTTTTGTATGCATAGATAATACTAAGAGTTTTTCTTTTCTTTTTTTCAACTTCGATGTTCTCTAATCAGCTAATTATAGAGTCAGATTCCTCTTATTTGCAATTGTCCTATTTAACATTTATTATTACTGTTTTAATTAGAACTTTTTAATCACGAAAGGTGATTGACCTTAGGTGGCCTGAAGCACAACTGCATTACACCTCGAAGCATTGCATATCCGAGACTGTCAGTTAGAAGATATTTAAATAAATGTTATAATCATAATAAAAACCAATATTATTTAATCAGTTATACAATATTTGTTTAGTGATAACTATGAAGAACACAGAGGCTGTAAATCCATTGGCATAACAACAGTCTTTTCAAGTAATTGTACGAACTTCCAGGTAAAGCCCTACTCACTTATGATTTTATCCGAATACAGATACAAATCATTTTGAGATTGCTACAGATACAGATATTGGCTCTGCTGCACACCCCAAATTATTACATTTCTTTTATTCATTGTTTACAGTACTGATTTAAAGTGTCATTTCATCATCTGGCCTTTCTTACATTTTAGAATCATTTCATCACATATAGTAATATATAATTAAAGTCTCATTTTCTGTGCATTCAATCAAAACACTTTCAATGTAAATGTATATATTGGAATATTACTATCAATATATCTTATATATTGATAGTAATATATTTATATTTGTTTCCCTTAATGGGATATTATATTAGATTAATGTAGTGACAAACAGTCTCACACTCACCTGAACTGGATCATCTGTTTCAGGACAGATTTTCTTAATCTCCTCCTCCTTTCTTTCATATTCCTCTATCCCCTCTCTGTTCACACCTGGTAATAACATGTATCATGGTCGATCTATTTTACTAGAAATCATAAGCTATAATACACATATTTAGATTTACAGCATTTAGATTCACAGATGTTTTTGGCTTATGGTCAAAAAGATGAAAAAGTGCTAAAATACTAAGTCATAAAAATATTACCCACTCTTAATCGCTTGGTCCGTTGTACTTTGCTGAAAGACACATTTGATTCTAGTTAACAACTGAGTAAATGATTATTTTGGCAATAGAGTACAATTAAGTACAATTTATTTCTATTCAATCACTTTATAAATGTGTTTTTCTTCAGCTGATATTTAATAAATGATACTCGTACCTCTGTGCTGACTCTGATCATGTCACTGTCTACGGTATAGTTGAGTTTCCCCACCGCTGCACACTTGATCTCATACTCGGTTCCTGGTCTCAGATCAGTCAAAGTAACTGTGTCTTGATCCTTCAAAATAGGTTCAGATGTCCAGACTGTGTCCTGCTTAGGTTTATACAGTAATCTGAGCTCCTCTGTAGCAGGACATGATGGAGGAACCTTCAGAACCACACTCTGATCTTTGACCTCTTCAGTGATTGGAAATGCTGGTTGTGATGGACGAGTAAAGCAAACAGCTTCATCACATCCATGTTTATAAAGGAGAATGCAGGAACCAGGATAATTCTCCATTTCCTTTGAGGAGACTATAAATTTAGTGGACGGACTGCCATGTGACGTCATTAGCTCCTTAAATATTATTAAATGTTCTCTCATTTTCTCCCTGATGGTTCCAGTGAGCCACGTCAAAGCATGAGGAGACAATTCTGGATTATTCCACACTGTTTGAGTTTTCAGGTAGTTTTCTTGTTCAGAAAGTAGCTTGTCTGGCTGGTCAAGAGAACTAAACACGTAGCAAACCACATTCTCCACGTTAATATCTGACAAAACTGTGTCTAAGCTAATTTTCACTTCAGCTCCACAGTCCAATAATTGCTGAAGAAACTCCCCAACTGTATTTAATTCTTTCTCTTTCTCTTTTATCCACTCCATAAGATCCTGTGTGTTGAATGGAGATTCCTTGTGAGCTTGTAGAAGATTGGTCAAAGCACAAGTTTCTTCCTCACAGGCTTGAATTGACCGGATCAGCGAATTAATTGTCTTATCGAAATCTTGTCTGTAGATTTGGCAGTATCTCCTCATATCTTCAATCTTTTTGTGGCATGAACTGAATGCGGATATCCTGGTGTCTTGCAAAAGTTCACCGCACTTGTTTTCGGTAAAACTCAGATTTTCAATGACAGAATCTGTTGCCATGATAAGTTTCTTCTCTATGACCCTTAGATGGATGACATCACTGTCTACGGTGTAGTTAAGTTTCCCCACCGCTGCACACTTGATGTCATACTCAGTTTCTTCTCTCAGATCAGTCAGAGTAACTGTGTTTTGGTCCTTCACCATAGGTTCAGATGTCCAGACTGAGTCCTGCTTCGGTTTATACAGTAATCTGAGCTCCACTGTTGCAGGACATGATGGAGGAACCTTTAAAATCACAGTATTTTCTTTGACCTCTTCAGTGACTGGACACGCTGGTTTGGATGAAGGAATAAAGCAAATAGCTTCACTACATCCATTTTCATAGAGGAGAATGCAAGAACCTGGATTATTCTCCATTTCATTTGAAGAAACAATAAACTTGGCTGGTTCACGGTCTTTTGAATCAACCAAATTCTTAAATATATTTAAGTTGCTTCTCATGATCTGTTGGATTTCAGGAGTTAGCCAAGACTTCTGCTTTGAATCAGGTTTCTTCTCATCAGATACTCCTTGTGTTAAAGGACTCAGGGGAGCATCTGAGCAGTCCAGAGATGTGAATGTGTAGCGGACCAGATTTCCAACTTCCAGATCCATCAAGATGGCATCTAGGTTGACTTCTACCTGTGCACCAGCATCGTTCAGCTGTCTGAGGACTGTGTTAATTATATTAGACTCTTTCTCTCTTAATTTCTGCCATTCTGCAAGGTCAGGAGCTCTGAATGGAGATTCATCATGTTCTTGTAGAAGATCATTCAGTGCGGTTTCCTTCATCACATTTCCACGGATGTTTGGCAGCAGAGAGCCGAGCGTCTTCACGAGTCTCAACTTGTATTTGTAGCAGTTGTGGTTCATGTGCTGAATTTTATCATGAAACGCAGCAAAAGTCAGAGCAGGCGAGTCTTTCAGAAGGTCACTGCATTTCATCTCTGTTGTATTTAAATTCTCAATCACCGATTCAAACTCCATGATTAGATCCATGCTAATGTCTTTATGAAGTTTTGAAGCTCTTGAGTAAAGTTTGTCCAGAGGATAAAGCCAAACTCTCAGAGGAACGGCCAGCTCTTGGTTTTCTTTCAGCAGTTTTGGAAGATCAGCAAAAACCTTCAACGCATCTTCAAAAGAGGTCGGGTTAGACGGTAGCTGGAAGTCGCCATAAAATGTACAAGAGAATTTTTTTAATGCAGTTTTCTGACTGTGATTCACGTTTAGATCAACGTTTGCATCTACTGAAATGATGCCTTGTAGTTTCTCAAGAGCCACTTTAACTTCACCTTTTACTGTTTTTTTGTCCTCATTTGAGGAAACCTCTCTATCAAAAACAAAGCAGGCATCTGCTCCGTACAGCACTGCTGTCACCACGTGTGTAGCCGTATCATCATCCGCAGCATTATTTCCAGGAGGCAAATGATTCATGGTCAGTTCTTCAAACCTGCTGGTTGAATGATAATGTAGCGTCAGTCTCTGCTGTTTAAAAGACGTCTTGGTGTCTTTAAGATACTTTGCTGCTCCACTAACATGGATGAGATCACCTAAAAGACTCAGTTTGAGTCCACCATCAATATTTAGTATTTTAGATTTGTCCTGAATGGAGTCTGAAGCTGTAACATTGAACCTTGTATTAATTTGGGAATGAGATGAACTATTCTGCTGCAGCTGCTCCTTACTCCACAGTCTGACCCCTGCAACAGGAAAAATGAGTTTTAACTCTAAACACTGAATTTATTAGAAATTGCATTTTGTATAACAATTGAGCCCCTTTCACACAGCGCGTTGATCCCGGGAAATTACCAGAACGCCTTCTGTGTGAATGCAAACACGACCCGGGATTGATCCCGGGTTGGGGACCTAGTAACATTGCCGGGATCAGTCCCGGAACGTGCGCTGTGTGAACAAAAGCCAGGAGGACCAATGTCGTAAGGGGTGTGCCATAGTGATGACGCTCGTGCCATCGCGCGACTCTATTTCTCTTGTTTGTGTTCGTCATCAACAAAGGAAGGACGAACAAATACCTGCAAACTGTAGCGAAGCAGAGACCAGGAGCTCCTCACTATCCGCGCTGATGCTGAGATCGTTCACCAGCTTTGTGCCAAGGTATGCACGTGTACATGTTTTCGACGCGTCCGTTATACGTCTCATCCTGACGTCACGTGACTTCCCGGGATTTTTACGGGTTGTGTGTGAACGCACTCACAGATCCCGGCAAATCACTGGCAGTGTGAATGAACCGAAATCAAACAATCCCGGGACAAATGCCGGGTCACATTATCCGTGTATTTTCCAGAATCTCTGTGTGAAAGGGGCTTTATAGAGACAAATTCTGAAGGTGGTTAATGCAGTTTAAGACAATGAAAGTATGGAAAATGTTTGTCTGCTCCTGTTTATGGGGTATTAGACTAGAATATAAAATATAAAGATATTTTCAGCAAAACTACAAACATATTCATGGTTATTTCTACCCTAAGTTGAGTAAAACTATAGCATCAGAAAGAACAAAGAAAGTGTCTTGAGGATCAAATATTGTTAACTCTGTAAAGAAAGAAGGCCCAAGTGAAAAGAGATCCAACACAGGAACTTTATTGACAGACACTTAAGTCCTGATGCTGACTCCAACCAGCAGGGAGAGGTCAAAGGGATGAGAGAGAGAGTCAGACTGAGGATGTCTCTGGGAATTAGAGCCAGACCGATATATCGGCAGGCCAATATTATCGGTCGATATTAGGCATTTTCCAAACTATCGGTATCGGCAGTTATGATGGCTGATAAATAAAATAAAAACGGACGAAACACGCTTGAACCATGTCATCAGTGTTGGAGTTGTAAAGTTGGTCCACCAGAGGGCACTCTACACCGTTCCTGATGGCAACACTCGTTGAGTTGGTCACGAGACATATATTGCTTGAATAACAATTAAAAGAACATCCCCATCAGTTCTCTTAACTCAAATAAGCATGACAAAATTTGTGACTATCATGTCCAGTTTTGCTGCTGTTAAATAAGCCGAGAGTGAAGCGGAATTAGTTAGTAATAATTACGTTACGTTGTAACAGTGTAGTTGAATGACTATCCTTTTAACTTTTGACAATGTGACTGAAGTATTTCTTTAATAGAGCGTGACAGTTATAGCAATGGGACGGATCATCTCTCCTTGGCCTGTTATATTGAAAATGTATGTTTTACAATTATGACGTTATCTATTGCTAAATTATGGCTCATCATAGACTACCTAACCATAAAGCTAGCTAAATCCACTATCATCAGTCTGTTCTGTTGTGACAATAAAAGAAAACAAGTTTCTTTTTAAAATGCATTATCATATTATTTTAGTTAAAACTCAAATAACTACAAATAACTAATGTTAGGGAAATCTGTTAATGTTTTGTTTCGCGTTTCTGAAATAAAAAAATATCGGCCGATATATCGGAATATCGGATTTTAAAACCAAAAAATATTTGTATCGGTATCGGCCTTCAAAATCCTTTATCGGTCAGGCTCTACTGGGAATCATCCCCAACAAAAGACAGTCTGGAGGGCTCACTATGTGGCATAGGCAGGACCAGACAGGATGCAGTGACAGGGACAAAACCACACTGACTACCAGACAGGAGACAGGCAGGACAGATAAATATCATTGCTGCTGTAAGGGAGAGGTGTATTTGGACCCAGCTTACATATCATAAGCAATAGAGCCATGAGCCATGATCACTTCAGTAAAAGAAAAACCTTTGCTACAAGGTTATAATGAGTAGAGCAGTAATGAGAATATCTCTACACCTTGATAATTGGTCGTCGAATTGCACAGAGGAGCACAGGATATCACAAAATCTGCATATAAATAATGAAGTTGGCGGGGAACCATCAACATATCAATGTGATAAACACTAGCAATCAGATAGCACAGAGGTGCAGGAACTGTTAGACATATCATAAAATATGTCCAATAACAACAGAAATTTTGTTGACAAACCAAATGTTGACAAAAACCAATCCAGATCAACAGACAAGAGTGCTAGGGCAAAACCTTGACACAGACTATGTACTGCTAGTGCAGGTCTGGTTAAGTCTCGTATATGTTAATACTAGTTCTCAGATTGAATATATAGGTACCTGGTATTAATTCGTCCTTTCTGCAGTCATACAGCATGCCAAGCTGGAAGGGTCTCCCAAGAGCAGCTGTTTCAATCACATTCACTCCCACTGAATCCATACTAAAGAGCAGAAATAGGTCATGAGGGAACAGTTACTGCAACCTCACTGATTAAGTCCCACATATTAAATATGTTGATATAAAAGGATATAAAATAATATCTCTGGAGAGAGATAGGGTTGTTTTCCCCTATGTATAGAAATAAAGTAAAAGATTAATGGTAATATTATTAAAAACATTATGAAAAATGCATTTTTTGTTTTAATAATTGCGTTTAAAACAAAACTAAGCATTAGAAAATATAGAGTACTTCGAATAGCTGTTATTACTTAAATCTGCTACCTTACTTACAATCTTTTTTCTATGACTAATTTTCTTTCAGAATATCACTGTTCATGGTTTACCCATAATTAAGACTTTGTCATGTTTACACTTTATCATCGTATTTAATTAATTAACCTGCAAACCAAGATAGACACATTCAAATATTATTTATCATATTGAGAAACAAGTTCCAGTGTGAGACATAAATGTACAGCAACCATTCTTCATTTATTTTATTGTTAGAAACCCTTTCATGGTTATAACTGCGCAGCACGTATTTTAGCATAATGAATCACTCACTTTCTCTGTTTCTCAAAGCTCTTTCTTCATTATTATCTTGAAGAGTTGGAATTGTCCTTTTTTTCCATTAGACTCATAAAAGACATTGTTTAAATGTTTCTTTAACACTTTGAAATGAATTTAAAGCGATGTCCTTCGGTGCCGAGATGCGATTGTCTTTCACAAGCAGATTCAAACTTTCATTTTCTGTTAACGCTCCTCCCACTCAAGAGGAAACACACAGACCACAAACAGTAACATCTACTATAAAGGATGTGGAGAGGCATTTCAAAATGAAATAATCTATGTAGTCATTTAATTGTTTTAAATTTAATTAATGTGTAAAAAAACTGCACTGGTATTGTTCAAAGATCATCAGGTTAGCAGGACTGAGGCAGTGTGTATTTACACCAGGTATATTTAAAACCACAAATAAACAAAACAAAATCTCATCAAAACGACCAAATAAACCCTGTAAAACCTGAAACCATGGTATGAGCCTGTTACAATAGAAAAAAAGCAAATATATTTCATTACGGAAGGAAATAGAACATTCATTGCAGATACCATGGTTTATAATTGAAACAATTGCATTTACTGCAATAGCGCCATAAAGAATTCTCCATTGTAAGTCTTCCACTTTCTTTGGAAAGAGTGACTTGTATAAAGTTCTCCATTGTGGTTTAACATTCTACCCTAGATGGAGGACAGGACTAGCCTGGTTCAACCAGACTCTCATACACTTCATTTGTACAGAGAGTTTGGCCCATACATATCTATATAAAGGCTAGATATCTCGTCCACGCTGCTGGCCAATGGAGGTTGACGTTTGCACCTGGCGGCCATCTTGTCACAGGCAGCTCGCTCACTCGTAACATTGTGTTAATGGTACATGTACTATTTAAATAACCATAACTTGCTCAATTTTCTACCGATTTTCAAACGGTTTGGTTTGTTATAAACGTTAGAGATGTAGTTATGACACAGCATACTTATGAATAATAAGTGTATAAATAAATAATCATCCACACAATTATAGCCCCATTAATAATGTTTGTAAGAAACCAAACCGTTTGTAAATACGTCAAGATTTCAGCGAGATAAGAGTACTCATCTTACATCAGCTTACCTGTGACAAGATGGCCGCCGGTGATGACGATAGAAACTCCGCCTTAAGACATCCAGCCTTTATATAGATATCTATGGTCTGGCCTCTCTCCAATGAGAAAGGTTTACTTCCTTGTAGGCGGGTTCTCTGTTAAAGTTCAAAACTATTGGATCTGCCCAGAGTCACTCAGGATATGCCATAGCCAATCGTTAACGTGTGGTCATGACATAGGCTATGTCATGCACTAAAACGACTGGAACAAGTCCGAATGATCAGAGGATTATGATTACAATAAGATTTCTGTCAACAAGAGCTGCAGATTTTGTTATTTTAATTATTACAATTATTCGAAATGTATATTTGACACTAAGGACAGTGATATATTCATTCAACTGTTGAAGCTGGGTCTAATCATTACAAATATGTGGACGCCGCTGCGGTTGGTTCTGATCTGCCGCAAATGCTGTACAGTGAATGATCTGTCTCTATCTGCAGATCTGTAATAAACAACAATTTTTCATATTATGTCTTATTGTTTCTTAATTACCTTAATTAATTATGGCCTTCAAAGTATGTGTTTGTACATTTTTATTTATGACATTTAGTTTTTTTTTATTAAAGCTACACTGTGTGATTTTTACCCCCATCTAGCAGTGTAAAGGTATATGACCATCCAGTGAATATTAGTTTCTGTTTCTCTCAATTCCAATTTCGTTTTAACTCCTACGGTGACCAATGTAGTCCAAGATTAACATGGCTTCCAGTTCGACCTCGTCCATGAGTGTTAACTCAAACGTAAACGCGAAAGGCGAAGCTTGAATTAATGGGTATGTCCCTCTTTGGCTAATGTACTTTTAAGATGGAGGGGCAACATGGCAACCGACATTAGAGCCCCTTACCCGTATGTATTTTCAATGGCATATTATACACTCACCGGAATACTTTATTACTTGAACGAAGTAAATATACATTAATGAGCACATATATTTTTGGAAGAACTAAGTGTTTTAGCTAAGAATAAACTAAAAGAGTTACACAGTGTAGCTTTAAAACAAATTATGTTATTACATTTTATTTATGACATTTTTTTTTAAATTACAACAACTTTTAACGATTTACAACATGTAAAACTGACACACCAACCATGCTCCTGCAGGAGTACACAAAGGGCAACAAAAAAAGGACTAAAACGAAGATCAGCATCCTTCGAGATGCTGAGAGCTCCACGTCCTCGACTAACTTTGATTTGACAGAGATGCTGTATACTTTATTAGACAGGTGAGCAAAATGTATATAAAACTAATCAATGTTATTTAGTTCAACATGATGAAATGTTAGAATATGATCTGTATGGTATTCTAATGTTGATCTAGCTCACTGCTAGTCTCATGCAGCCAACAAACAACCTAACAAACAAGTCAACACATTTAAATGCCGTTTAGTGTGACAGTGTAACAGTTAGAGCAAGTGAAGCAGCACTGTGTTACCTCATGTTTAATTCCTCTAATAAAATGACCTGTGTGAGTATTAATACAGCACTTGCGTGTAGTTCGGTAGAATGAAATGTCTCATTAGCAATTGCGCCCTACTTCATACCACATGCAAAAAACATCAATGCATTCACTCATCCATAAAAGATCCATCAGCTTGATGACAAGATCCATAACGCCGCTTAATGCTTTGCATCATCAATATATGCCTTTGATATTGTAAGAGGTTAGCGACCCCTGGTGGTGAACAATCCTACATATTGTGCTTTTAAGTGTTTCAGAGTTAGGTGTGTAACGGTGAGAAAACATGTCAGAGGCAATGGATGCAGAGTCTGCCCAAGTGAAAAACCTAAGCCAAATTGTATTTATTTCATACGAACTAGAATACAAACCAATTAATATATTTAGGGATATATTGCTTGAGACTTACTAAATATTATGATTAAACTTTATTTGGCATTCTTTATTGCACAATGCAGTTTTCTTAATATTAAGCATTTGTGATTAATATCACTATTAGTAAGGATAGCATGATCACTGTATTATTTAAATCCAAAAATATTTAAAGTGTATCTAAAGTATACTTGAAATAGTTCCATTTTAGCACAATCAAATATACTTAAAAATATTTAGTTGGACCTTATAAAACTACCAATTAAGCAGACTTTAAGTATAATGGTTTAGTATACCAAAAAACTACAATTGCAGGGTAATTTATATTAAGTACATAATTATGTAAATGTGTTTGTAGTATACTTAGCATAAAATAAATGTGTTTAAAACACATTTAAGTATATTTATTTTTTACTAGGCTTATGTTGATTATTATTAATGATTATTGTGGTATTTGGTTACTGAAATAACACAACTTGTATTAAAGGTGGAATACCTAAGATTTTTGCATTAAAATATCCCAAAATCATAAGGCCAGTGTTATATATTTAGTTAAGATGATAACTTACAATATTCCAAATTTTTCAAACAATGTTTAAATTGCGAGAAAATTGAGATTTTAACCAAGGAACAGGGCGTGTGAGCAGGGGTGAGCTGGGAGTCGTCAGTAAATCGTGTCATATCCGCGTTACCTCGGTTTCTGCTCGTACTGCAAGTAGTCCTGGACAAATGCGAAAATTGTAGTTGTGCGTTAGCGTCTATCAAGCAATAAACGTCAGCTTGTTTCATGCATTTGTTATGGAAAATCAAAATCAAACAATTGCCTGTCAAAACCATTTTATTTGTGCTCAAAATCAAACAATACTTTCAGATCATACACATGAGTCAATATTATATACACTACAGATCATTACTTAGACAAAAAAAAAAAATCCAAAGCATGCAGTTGCAAAAAAAAGTATACCAATCACAAATTAGTATGGTAAATAAATTGCATTCTGTATGCACTACAAGTATTGTACAAAATATTGTATAAGTCTAAGGACTTGTTGTCTCTTGCAAGGCAAAGGCCCTAGTGTTTTAGATCCAGCATTGACAACACTGTCCACACCTTACTCTCTCATACTCTTCCTCTTCCTCCTCATCCACCACCTTTTACACATAGGCTACTCTTCCTCCTCTCAGTCTAATATAGATTCCATCCATTGTTTGTATCAACATTCAGTGCAACATTTTGAGTCAATTTGTGTCACTCTGAATTAACTTTTTGTATTACAGTTGGTTTGGTTACATCATTAAACATAAGTCTAAACAGTTGAGTAGTTATGTGTAAACAATGACAAGTGTTTTGAAACAAAGTGTCACTCCATGCTTATATATAAACATGTATCTCATTAAGTCATGTTGTTTTTAAGTTAAAGGGTTAGTTCACCCAAAAATTGGAAATCGTGGAAATCGTATGGAAGTCTCGTTTCAGGCCAACAAGGAATAAAAAAGGAATAGTCGAATAAAGTCGTAATTTTTGTTTGTTTTTTCGCAAAAAAAAGTATTCTCGTCGCTTGATAAACTTATAGTTGAGCCTCTGTAGTCACATGGAATATTTAAACATTTTCTTCATTGACTTTCTGGGCCGTCAAGAGCGAGTCCCTTAGGCAGTCTATGTGGTAGTGATACAGCTCTCAAATTTAATCAAAAATATCTTAATTTGTGTTCCGAAGACGAACGAAGTTCTTATGGGGTTGGTACAGCATGGGGGTGAGTAATTATTGACTTAATTTTCATTTTTGGGTGAACTAACCCTTTAAGGTCATACTTGTATGAGGAATTGAATCCTGTCTTTAATCCTATTCTAGTGTATTTCATGAAGTTCTGCTCTTCTGGGGTATAGGTGACTTCAGACTCACTGGTGAATGTAATAGAAACTTATTTCTGACTGTGATCTGAGAGATGCAAGAGTCTAATATTTATCTCCTTTTGAGGTGTTAATTCAAACTCTCAATAGCATCATGTTTTGAGTATTTTCTCCATTCATCCGGAATATCACCGCTCCCCTCAAATGTTTTATTGTATTGCTTTTCAAGATCTTTCTGGAATCTGCAGACAAACCACTTCCAGTAGGGCAGTTCAGAGAGATCAGATGTGATGCTCCAGTCTGCATAAACTCCTCCTGCTCTTCTGTATTCTCTATACAGGACTGTATCATCTGAATCAATGGGATGAAAATATAGAGTGCTGCTTGCTACTGCTGATGTGCAGATATGAGTAGATAAGTTAGATGTATTTCTGTAATATATGCTATTTAGTCCAATATTACGGTGGAAAGGAGCACTGTGATCTCCATGATGGTTCTCTATGGTGTTGGTGCAGACGGCTCCACAGAACGGACACTGAACCCAACAGCACTGACAGAAGTGACCAATCAGAAGCTCATCTGGCCTGATCTTATAGTCCAGATTTGCAGGAAATGTATTTTTGCTGAAGTTACTGCTGATGGCAGACATTATTACAGGAAGCTCTTGTCTTATCACATCTTCGAGGAGGTTGAAATCCTCAACATCATCATGTTTGACTCCACTGAGGTCTTTTTCAGAGAAGATCAGCACATCAGAGAGCTGCTGTGTGAAACTCTTCAACCATAATCCAACATCTCCTCTGTTCACCTGAACACGTTCAGTAGATTCATGTGCTGCGTTCATGATCTTCTGCTGCAGGAGTTCAATGTTCTCCTTCATCTTGGGTAAAACACTGACATTGAACTTATCAGTGATGTACCGACTGACTTCATCTCTGATGAAACTCTTAAAGTGATCCTTGGGATTATCAATGTAATTGATGTATTTGACAAAATCCTCCTCTTCTGCCAGTGTCTTCAGGATGTGTTTTTCCAGATTTGATCTGTTTCCATTCAGTGATTCACAGTTTGATCTCATTTCATCTGTCAGATCTCTGGCAGTCTTCTTGTAGACACTCTGCTCAATGGGCTCTTTCAGCTTCTGACAGACGATCTCTCCAAAAATGGCTGTTGATGTTGCTCCATGACAGTATTTCTGGAAAATACCGTACTGTTCTTCTCGCTTCTGAACATATATTGCTTCCTTGTACTTTCTGTGTTGGTCAGTGATCGTTTTGTTTGCTCTCTCACAGATGGAAAGAACCAAATCCATGAAGAATTCCTTCTTGAACTCATATTTCTCTGATTCTTCCTGATGTTGTGTTACTCTCTCCTTGATGTAATCTGTGAGTTGTTTAATGTAGCTGATTTTGTAGCCCATTGTTGAAATGTTAAATGACTCAATCATCTTGTCTGTCTGCTGGTCAACATCTGTGATTAATGATCTTATTTGAGCTTCCTTCTCTGGAGAGAGAGTTCGAGTGTATCCAAATGCTTCTTTAACTTTTCTGTAAGCACCCTTTAAAGCCTTTACAGGCCAACGTTTTGTGTATTTTTTTAAAGTAATATATTCATTATAACTGGACACAGTGAAAATATTGATGTACTCACTGTCCTCTTTATTGTGGTCCACAGAGAGGTGCCCCTCATTGACATCACTGAGGATGTCTCTTGCATCTCTCATTAGGTCAATGTCTTTGATTGGAAGAGTGTCTGTGATGATCTTCCTCACACTCTGATCCCAAAACAAGTCAAATTCTTTCTTCATTGTTTCTTCATCATTTGCTTTTTCTTTGAGTTTTAAGGCAATTTCTTTACTCTTTTTATAAAGGGTATGTTCATGATGTGTCCTCTCAGCATCACATTTTTTCTTCAAATGTTCTTCATCTTGTGTTTTGTCTTTGAGTTTTAAGGGAAGTTCTTTGCTCTTTTCATAGAGAGCGTTCTCATGATGTTTCCTCTGAGCATCAATCTTTTTCTTCAGGTCTCGCTGCTGAAGAATCTCATTTAATTTCTTCTTTGTTTCTCTCACAATGTTTTCCTGAAGCTCTTTGATTTTGATTTCAAATGATGTTTTCCACTGAATCAGTATATCTTTATCTTTGTCTTTCTCAAAGAATTCAGACATTGATTTCTCCACTTCTTCACTTGTCTTCTTCAGTTCTTTTTGAAGATCGGTTTCCTCAACCTCATGAATTGCTTCATTTTCTATTTTGTTGTGTAGTTTGTTCTCAGTTTCCATCATGGCACTGCGAAGACTCCAGGACCACTTGCTGTATTCAGTCTCCAGTTTCCTGTAGGCAGAAATCTCAAGGGAATTTTGAAAGCTGAAGACAAATCTTTCCTTCAGTAAAGCCTTCCAGATATCTTTAATATGATGTTTTAGTTGTCTAAACATCTTTCCATCTGATCTTGAAGCATGTGAAAGTATAGTTTTCTTTAGTTCTTGAATATTCTCACAGTAGTTTGGGTTTGGTGGTGCCATCGGTGGGTTTCCCTCCCAGAGCTGAGCAAAATACTTCACATCATTCTGAATATCAAATCTAATGACATCGCTAAAACATTCTGCATCATAGCCTTCCTCTTTAGCAGTGAGTTTTGTCATATCATCTAGTGTCTGCAGCAGTCGTCTCCTTCCCTCCATGTTTTTCTCTCCAGCTGCGACGTCTGAGACGTTCTGATGCACAAACACACAGCTGGGATTCAGTCTGACCATCTTCATCCTCAGGAAGGCCTGAACAACAATCTGAAGAATGTCCTGCATCTCAGATGGGTTTTCACCAAAGATGTTGATCAAGGTCAGATTTGCAAGACCAACAACAAATGTGGCCAATTCATTGTCATGATGCTGTATTGATCGTCCAGCCAGTTCTAGAGCACGAAGACCCTCAGTATCAACAACCAGAATATAGTCAAAGTTCATCTGTGTTTTCATCTCGTCTGAGACTTTGACCAGCTGCATGAAAGCTCCTCTGGTGCACCTGCCAGCACTGACGGCAAACTCCAGTCCAAACATGGCGTTCAGCATGGTGGATTTCCCAGAGCTCTGAATCCCTAAAACTGACAGCACAAAGACTCTCTGGTCTCCCAGTTTCTGGATGAGTTCATCTAGAACAGCAGAGATCCAGATCACAGGAACATGAGCAGCATCTCCATCCATCAGCTCCAGTGGAAATCCAGAGATCATCATCTCTGCTGCAAGACTTGGGAGAGAAGAGAAGTCAAACGGCAGATCTTTCTTGTTCTCCACAGATGAACATGATTCATGGATCTGACCGATCTCCCTCATGATGTGCTCCAAACCAAAGGATGCAGCTTGAAGATCCTCAGATATTCTCTCAAGTTCTGCTTGTTTAGCTCTCAGTTTTTCTGGTTCATGTTTCTCTTTTAGTTTTAAGACCATTGACCATAATTCATCATATTTGTGATGAAGAACAGAAAAATCAGCTGATGTATATTCATCCAAGCGTATTCCAAGCCATTTAACGAAATACATCTTATCTCCAGTATGTGTGTTCATTTCTTTAATGAAGAACTTCATAAACTCACTGATGTCAGATTCATGCTGCTGTTCACGAATTTTCTTCATCTCAGTTAGTTTTCTACTGATGTCCATTTCTAGTTCATCTGATCGAGGTCGATGTAGTTCTTTGTTTTTCTGACTCCACTGATGCCACAGTTTCCCCTGATGAGGCAGAAATGAGTCTTTGATTTCTGTCAGATCTTTCTTCTCCAGTAAACTCATCATCTGCTGTGCTGCTTCTCTTCCTCTCTTGCAATCATCATCATCTTCATCATCTACTGTGATGTCTGAGTGTTTGGACACATCTTCAAGTCTGAAAGTGGAAGATGATTCTGAGAGACACTCATTTATGGCTCTTCTGAGTTCTTCAGATACTTCTGACTGATTTCTGTCCTTCAGACCAATCCTATATTTTTTCTTCATCACAGCTACAGCTGAATCATCATCATCAGTAAAAAGACAAATGAGTGGCTTTGAGTCCTTGTACAGTTGTTTAAGTTTTATCATGTTTTTGTCATTCTTCTGAAGTCGTGGTAGAACGACAACATTGACCGAAGCCATTTCAGTGAGGATCTGCAGCTGTTTCTCATGATCTCCAGCATCACCGTGTAGATTACAGAACGCAACACAGTCAGTGAATTTATCATCATATGATCCAGAGGGGCAGAACCAGGCGATCTCCACCACTCCATCCATCAGGACTCTGGTTCTGCTGCTGCCTGAACAGTTCCTGTGGAAGAACGTGTCGTGTTTCTCATTGATCAGACTGTTCATCAGCTGAGACTTGGATGAGGACACAGAGCCAAACCTGAAGAAAGACACCATTGGAGTTTGTGCCTTGTAGACCGGATGGGTTTGACTGATGGTCTCATTGTTGGTGTTTCTCATCTTCCAGCTCTTGTTGATTTGTCTGAATGTCCAGAGAGGAAACTCAATCTGTTGTGTGAATGGATCAGGAACAAGCAGAGGCAGAGCGTACTGACACTGGGACAGTTTAGTCACCATCAACTGCTTCAGGAAACCATCAGCACAATGAAACACAGCCATCTGAACATCCATCGGGTGGATTCGTTCAGATTTACTAATACCTTTATTAGGCAATGACCCTAAATTAAAAAAAAAGTCATCAGAATCTGCCTCTTGTCTACATGAGTCATTGGTGCCTTGTTCATTGTGACTTTCCTCATTGGTCTCTTTATATTTAATGTATCTTGCTCTGTAGTTCATCATCAGTAGTTTTTGTATGAAAGTCTGACTCAGCTCCTCTTCAGCACAAGACTCATGGGACTGTAATGAATGTACAGATGTTAACTGAAGAACATCAGCAGCTCCCAGTTTATTGTTAAGTCTGCCTTCAAGATGAAGTCTGTGAAATAGATTCATTTTTACAGTCAATACTTCCTGTTGTATGTGTTGATCTGAAGGGACGTCTAATGTTCCACAGAGCTTGTTTTCTGCCTGTTGAAGAAATAAACATTCATTTCAACAAACATTTCATTTAATTTGATCATTTTGTTTTGGTCTTAAACAAGTAAATGATAAAACACAGCACACACCAAAGTACACACAGCAAAGTTCTCGGAGTGACATCAGCCAAAAATGCATTTGAGCATTATTGTAATGCAAGTGTAATTTTTCTCCTTTACCACAAATAGCTTATTTTGTGTCTCAATTGATTGGGTGGAGCAGCCATCAATCTGAGTGGGCCAGTGCCACCCAGACCTTATGTAGCCTTGCCAGTGCTGTAATGTGGTAAGAGTGAAGATGAATGAAATCAGCTTTAGTTTCAGATATCAAACACATTAACTGTATGTTGAATTTGAATGATGCAAAATCATTATATGTAACTAGGGCTGAGACGTTTTGTCGACAAAGTCGACAATAAAAAAATGTCGACAAATATCTTGTCAAGTAGTCGTTTGATCTCATGTAACAATGTAAGGGCCTGCAATAGCGCGATTTGTAATGCAGCCCTTACAAATGTTTATTGTGGTAGAAGAAAAAAACAGTGTGAATTATGACAGTGCAAATGAATCCGAACTAGCAGGCTTGGGAAAGTTTCACAAAACTTCAAAACAAAAATGCTGTTGTGTGCAATACACGCAAGGCGGAACCTGCTTTTCATGGGAGCAGAGGAGCAAGTGAGTCTTCTGAATGTTAGGAAGAACATCATAATTCAGTACTTTTCATACTGTAAATTAAAAGGTGAATGAGAACGTCTGTCAGCTCAATTGTCCTATAAAAAAAGACTGTCTTAAAGAGAATGACCTGTTTAGGTCATTTTAGTTTAGGTCACACTTTGGCGCAAAGTTAATTAAAACAACTATTTCAAAAAGCTGAACTGATTTTCTTTTTAAATTATAGTTAGAAGATGTATAACTCGATATATTAACTAATTGAAAAGCTAAATAATCGTTCCAAACTTACTGATTAGTTGACAAAATAATCGTTCTAATCATCGATTATCAAAATAATCGTTTGTTGCAGCCCTATATGTAACCTCAAATTCTCCAGTTTCTATAGTCCAGCAGAGAGCAGCTTCACTTCTGAGTCTCCTAGACTGCGTTTTAATAGCACAACAAATCCAATCCCAGCTGGTTCTCAACCTCTGCCGGTGACTTTTATAAATAAAACAGCTTAACTACTGAAAGCTACATTATATTTCACAGCAATGAGGTAATAACTAGGGATGTCCCGATCCGATCCACGGCATCGGTATCGCGCCGATACCGGCCCAGAACGCTAGATCGGAGATCGGAGGGGAGAAAAAAATATGAGCGATATCCAGTTTAGCGGCGCAGCCTGTCACGTGATAATTGTTGTGTTTAAGCACACGCGCGCAGAGAACCACTCTCGCTTTTGCGCACGGATTCTAATGTAATCGGATGATTCCACAAAAGCTGCATTTCAGTCTTTTCAGAAATTCATTGGCTATCAGAAAATAGCGTCATTTCATTCTCTATTGCAACTGGATAGATAAACTGTCACTCAAAGAGAGAGCGAAACTGGCGCGCGTAAAGTTTGAAGCGAAATTTACGCGCGTGACGCGCGTCAGAATCAAAATCCGTTGGCAGTCATTGTTTTTATGTCGACCGAGCATTCATCAAGAGAGTTACCGCTCTGTATTTACTCTGGATAGCAGAACAGCGGCGTGGGGATCATCGTCGCCGTATATTTGTGTCCACCGGACCCTTCGGAGCCGAACCGTTTGGCGAGTTTCACCATTTGCTCGCTCCAGGAGCTGCGCTGGATGACGGCCGCTGTCAGCGGTACTTCCGCCTGTCACGCGCCCAGTTTGATGACCTGTTGTCCCGCATCTGAGCGAGGATCTCCCTCGCCCGGCCCCTCATCCATCTAATCTAGCTGTCATTTATTTTTGTTTTGATAATAAATAGAGCCAGCCTTCAAAAGTTATTAACCTGTCCTGTGATTTTTTTTCTCTCTCTCACGTCCAGACACGAATTTATGCACATATGTTGATATATATATATAGCGCGCTATGTATGTTATGCGCGCAGTATGTCTCGCTCTAGATTCCGGGAGATTTAAACTAATTTGCGGGCATCAGGGAGACGCTATCAATATGCGGGAGACTCCCGGAACTTCCGGGAGACTTGGGATGTCTGTCTTTACAACATAATACTATTTCTAGATATGGAATGAATAACATTCAATACAAAATGAACATGTCTCCATATAGAAATAATGTTTTAAGTGATGAAACATTTGCTTTGTTGTGCATAATCCCACCATGCATTTAGTCATATTAACAAAATAATTTATTGAAGCATCCAGACACTTCACCACGTGAGCAAGCAGCTAGGCTCCTGATTGGTTATCGCGGCGCGAATTCACGCCAAAGTTCAGATTTTTCAACTCGGGCGGCAGACGCGAATTCGCGTCAAACGCGTGAATGCACAACGCTCAATTCGCGCCATTCGCGCCAACTTGACGCGCGAATGAGGCGTATTCGCGTCTTCCGCGCCGCGCTCCACGCCTCATTCGCGCCGCAGGAATTTTTCTTGCATTGACTTAACATTGAAATCATTCGCGCCTGACGCCCTATTCGCGTCCGGTGTGAACGTAGCATTAGTGCGTCGAAGTTGTGATAGCGCTGTCGGCTAACGCGAAATGCTAGCCTACTATTTACAATCCATGGATGTTTATTCATATATACAATTGTTTTGGACTAAAAACTTCTTCAAATTGGATTGTATGGACGCTTTACAGTGAAACCAAACCATTTTTGTTGGAATGTGGACTAACAGATGGCTAATTGGTGAGTTTCTTCCAGTTTGTGTTGGTTTGTTTTGGCTGTTGGTGGTCTGACAAAGAGACAGATTGTGCCCGCTGTGTTGATTGTATCTTAAAATGGTTTACGTCGTTCGAATCACGAGTTTCTCAGCTTTCCAAAGATATGTATTATGTTTACTTTTGTGTTTGTTTTGTTTTGTCTTTCACAAAGTTAAACCTATAAACCACCCTGTGGGCCGTATACGGCACGTCGGACCACGGAAAAAAAAAATATCGGACTAATATCGGTATCGGCAAAAGCCAAAGGTGCGGCATCGGTATCGGTATCGGAAGTGAAAAAGTGGTATCGGGACATCCCTAGTAATAACTGAATCATATGCAACCTCAAATTCTCCAGTTTCTCTAGTCCAGCAGAGAGCAGCTTCACTCCTGAGTCTCCTAGACTGTGTTTTACTAGCACAACAAATCCAGTCTTTTACTCGCATTTGATTTACAAACATTTGAAAAATTCAGGAGCTGGTTTTCAACCTCTGCCTGTGACTTTTCTAAATAAAACAGCTTAGCTACTGAAAGCTACATTATATTTCTCAACAATGAGGTAATAACTTCACTGAAATTAACACAACACAAGCTTCACTATTAGGTTACTCACTCAAATACGTGCACGCTCTCTCGCTCGCTGTCTCTCTCTTGTTAATTCATTCGAATTCATTTAAAAAATGATATTGGCCTACTTTATTTCACTTTTTTGTAAAAGCAGATTTGTCTAACCACTATGGATTCATTGTTTTGTTATAAGTCAGAAATAAAAAATTTAAATCAATGGTTGTTGTTGAGGATATAATTTGGTGTTGTTTTCCTGTTTAATGTAACATTTCAGGTTTCCAATCTTGCTTATTTTTTAAACGTTGCATTGTGTATTATGAATGTTTTTGGACTTCAAACGACTTGGAATATAACACACAAATGATGTGGAGCAATTTGTTAATGTGCATTTAGAGCTTGATTGTTACAAATCACCATCATCTTATCCTTGTTTCAATAATGAAAAAATCATATGGTACATGAGTAAATTACACAATATATACATACTGTATATAAACGACAGTATAATTAAGTGAAATTTCTTTTTACAAACAAGCTCAAACACTATACACACACAGTAACAGTAATATTCTTAGTTGTGAAGAAGTCAAATCAAACCTGAGTATTGATGTCCCCCATATCTATCATCATTTCAGTCATGAGCTGCATCTGTAAACTACTCTGAAAACTGCATTTATATACACAATGTGACGTGGAAAATGTTTTGCATTCTTAACATCACCTGTTGTGGGAGTAAGAAAATGAAAGAGATGAAAGTGTATTGACTTTTGTGGGGAAGGCCCATAAAGACCTTTTTTTTCATATGTACTAAAGACGTGAATGTTTCATTTAAGCTATTTCTGTCTTTATTATTATAAATCACAAACTAAATGTAATGCCTGTTTTAATTATGGTTAAGAACAGTATGATTGAGAGTATACATAAATCTTGAAAAGTTGGTTTAAGTGACATGAATTGTTGAACTAGTTCTTTAGAAAAGCATTTCCTCATTCCATTTTTAGGGTAATAAACCATCTCTTTATCCGTCCCATTCAGTCAGACGGCTTCTGAAAATGATAATATTTTCAGCAAGATTGCTGAAAATACATTATATACTGATAGAAACCCTGCTAACAAATTATGTTCTTAAAAGTTCTAAGAATGTTTTCCAAACAGTCTATTTTGGTTATAGGAATGTGGAAATGTCAAAAAAAATTTAAAAGATGGTATGTTCCTTTCAGTTTAAATTTAATTAAAAACTTAAAACTCTAGGAACGTTGATTTGTAACATTCAAAGAACGCAAACATTTCCTGTTTTCTTAACGTTCATAGAATGTCATTTAAAGTATGATGTTCTTTCAAATGTATTATTAACAAAAGTTATCGAAAAAGTTACTTATGAATCCAAATGAGAACATAGTAGCGACATGGTACACAGCAAAGTCCTCAGTGTTAAATGAACAATACTTAGTCTATATGAGTCCAATCTACATAATTATCTCATTAATTGCAGTTGCTTCAGTGTTAATTTAACACTTATGACATTCATTTGGTTTTTACATTCAAAAACATCAAAATGAATAAGTGATCATCGTGATGGTATAAGTGAGGGTATGTTCCTGAAACATTCTTTCATCTTAAATTTAATTAACAACCAAACATTCTAAGAACGTTGATTTGTAACATTCAAAGACTGCAAACATTTCCTGATTTTTAACGTTCATAGAATGTCATTTTAAGTATGATGTTCCTGAAAAGTTCTTTCAAATTTATTATTGACAAAAGTTATCAAAAAAAGTAACTTTTAAATCTAATTGAGCACACTGTAGCGACATGGTACACAGCAAAATCCTCAGTGTTAAATGAACACTACTTAATGTGTATATGGGTGCAATCTATATAATTACCTCATTAACTGCAGTTGCTTCAGTGTTAATTTAAAGGAGCTAAACGCAAGTCTCTGAGTTTTTGCAGAACTACGCCCCCTCTGGCGACAAGCGAAACTGCAACCAGAGCTGTGCGCGTTCATGGAGGAACACACACACACATACGCACGTTTGCACGAGCTGTTCATAACTAAGGAGCATCAGCCGCACACTGTGCGGCACACATCTTTTGTTACAGTCATAATGAGGTAATACAGTAATAAATCTGCAAGTCATTTAAAATATATGAAAGGAAAGGCATTCGAGTAAATTACACACTTGTGTGAGAGGGGGAAACGGGGGTAGTAGAAAACTTCGGTTTTTGTTTCCATCTATCTCCCTGTGCTTACTGTATCCACTTATGATTGAATTATTATGGAAACACGTTCAGTTATCACTTTGTATAGGCTATGACCCGTTTGAGCCCTAGAGACGACCGGAGATCTCTCCGTTTGTTGAAAGCTTCCCGATGTTGACTCTCGTCTTATTCCGACGCCTGGCACTGGACAGACAGAAGTTTTATTTTCTGTCTCACGTGGAGTTTGCGTTGGGGTTTGTAATGAGCTTCAAGCCGGTCTCTTTCCGCGCCATATACAGATTTAATGAAGTGCACGTCACCGAAAGCAACAGATATGAGCTGGATTTTATTAATCATCGGCTAATTTCAAAATCAGCAAAGACAGCAATAAGAGAGATCGGCAACAGAACTGGTAAGATCATTTCATTTCTTTACTTTTAATGAAGATGGTAGTGTTAAGCGTCTGCGACTTACTTTCACTTTGATTTGCGATAGATTGCGGCGCTTGATGAAGGGGCTCAGCTCAGCTGCTCAGGTGATGCGCGTCGTCATATATGACTAAAATATCATGACATATAGCTTGGTTTCAACAACCAGATGCATTTACACTTGTCCAGTTTCGTCTGGAATACGGCACAGACCACGTCCTCAAGTGGTTTGAGCGATCGAATTCAAATCCGTCTCGAATGCGTTTCGGAGGGCATTTACACCCTGGTCTTTTCACGATCGAATAGCTATCCGATCACAGAAGACACATGAAGGGACCAGGTGTAAACAGCCCCTTTGAATCCATCGTCTACTTTTGTGGAAAGCTGACTAGAGTTGTGTCGCTCGAGTTGTCTTCTCTGATACGGAGAACGGCGGCGAATAGCTACACGAACCTGCCAGACATAGCCAGGCGAGCGTGAACGCGCATGACGTCACGCCCAGTCTCAGATTTGAGCCCGAATCCCTCTTATATATTTCACTGTACAGGGTTATAGAGGCGATCACAGTGATCAAAGAAGGGCTCATTCAGCCCATCAGGCGATTGTTTAAGCATGTATGGGTTAGAAAACGGCTATTTTTAACATGAAAAGTTGCGCAATGCACCTTTAACATTAAGGCTAAGTGATTACCGACCATTAGTAAGGAACACCTGCTGTTACCCAGCATAATCACTAAAGGATGGATAGATTGATGAATGGATAGTTTTCTTTAATAAGGGAGGGGTGGTGATGGTGCAGTGGATAAGACACACGCCTTAGGTGTGAGAGACCTGGGTTCGAATCCACTGCAAGACACCAATGTGTTTCTAAACAAGACACTTAACCCCTAGTTGCTCCAGAGGCGTGCGACCTCTGACATATATAGCAATTGTAAGTCGCTTTGGATAAAAGCATCAGCTATATGAAAAATTAATAAATAATGCCATGTCAGCATCTAAGGCTGTTTTCATGAAAGAAATTAAATTATAAAAATATAAATATCGTATAAATACATTAAAACCAAGCAAACAAACACAACAGGTCACATTATCCTTTTTTTAATTAACATATGATAAAAAAAATGCCAAAACCTTTTCAGGCATAATCTTACCAAATAAGTCATTAAGTGAAATAACTTCATAAAAGAGCATTCTACCTGTATTAAACCCAGGGCAGTTCAATTCAATATGTTTAACAGAGAGGGGAATCTTACAAAACATGCATAGAGTTGGGTCTTCACCTTTAAGCAAATAAGCATGAGTCAAACATGTATGACCTATCCCACTAAGCAAAATGATGTCCAAAAGACGTCTTTTCAATGTCTTTGTCACAAAAGTCGGATGTTGAAAAGACGTCCACTGAGGGGCTGGAATGAAAGTTATGACTTAATTGTTTTTAAATCTGATATTTATAACCACCAATCTTGAGGAACTGCATTATTTGGATCAGTGACTTTAAAATGATCACTGTGAAAAAAATATTTTAAGAAAGTGAATCACATAGTCACACACAGATATCAAGATTTTGGATATGATTCACAACAATGGTGACAACCAAAACAAAAAAGCTTGGGAATCAAGGATGTTTTGTACTATGGAAGCTACCCATCATGCATTGCAGCATGAAGCATTTTTATTTATTGTCACCATTGTTGTGAATCATATGCAAAATCTTGATGTCTGTGTGTGACTATGGTACATTTTCTCAAAACATTGTGTCAAACTTGCTTTTTGTCCACCTTCCATGCAACTAGCCCAAATAATGCAGTTCCAACAAGGTTGGTGGTTACAAACTCCAGATATAAACAGAAAAGTCTAAACACAATGTTAAATGATCACTTTGTCTTTATTTTTATTTTTGATTGGTGGTACCCAGAAGTTTAAACTTAGTTTGAACTTAGTTATGCTGCATGTTGCTTTATTAAAAAGGCAGTAACGGTGCAGTTGCTGATGCGGTGATGATCTCGTTACTAAGTTCATTAGCACATACGGGTGTGCTGTTTGTTTTTAAGATGAGCTACATGAGATTTGAGTTAGTCATATTTTCAGCTGATTCACATTACACACATTGTACAAGCAATGTTAGCAGTTTCATTTTATATTAAGAAATGTTCCTTTTTAGTGCACTCAATTAAATAAGTTCAAAGTACTAATGTTATTTAAATATTAATTTTAAAACTTTGAAGCAATCGCATTCTCAAATGAAATAAGTTTGATATTCTTATAGTTCCATATTATTATTGCAGTAAGATTCTGTAAAGAAGGAGAGCTGTATATTAAAGGAGAACTCCGGCAAACAATGAACCTTTGGTCTAATAAAACATCGGTACATAGTCAACCGTTCTCTGAGTTTTGTTTTCATGATAATCGAATGAAAAGAGTTTTATCTCTAAAAACTGTTTAGCGTATAATGCTAGTAATGGGGGCATTGAGTAAGTAAAAAGAAATCGCTAGTTTATACCACTAACAAGGCTCAAAATAGCCCCACACTCACACAGTAACATAATGAGGCTCCATACATGCAAAACGAAGCATTGAGAACTTTGTACGTGTACAGACCATTTAATAAGAAGATACTTTATGAAGACAGTTCACTTCGCGTATACAGGCAGGAGCCATCTTAAAAAATAGTCTCGATAAGTCGATCCCCGAACGCCGTTCATACAGTTCAGAAGTTCGTTGAACTTCATAGAGTTCAGATCACTCAGCACGACGTTCGTGGTTTGACTTATCGAGACTATTTTTTAAGATGGCTCCTGTCTATAAACGCGAAGTGAACTGTCTTTATAAAGTATCTTCTTATTAAACGGTCTGTACACTTACAAAGTTCTCAATGCTTTGTTTTGTATGCATGGAGCCTCATACTGTGTTAGTGTGGGGCTATTTTGAGCCTTGTTAGTGGTATAAACTAGCGATTTTTTTTTACTTAGTCAATGCCCCCATTACTATCAGTATACGCTAAACAGTTTTGAGAGATAAAACTCTTTACATTCGATTATCATGAAAACAAATCTCAGAGAACGGTTGAATATGTACCGATGTTTTATTAGACCAAAGGTTCATTGTTCGCCGGAGTTCTCCTTTAACTGTAGATTACTGGCAACAACACAACCAGTATTCTATTGTTACTTTACAGTACTTTTTTTACAGTTTAACACTAAGGATTTTTCTGTGTACCATGTCACCATAACATTCTCCTAGGGATTAATTGCTCATTTTTTTTAGGGATGCACCGATACCGGTATCTGGTATCGGCCTCGATACCACATTTTCTAAAGTACTCGTACTCGTTAAAAGTCCCCCGATACCGGGGACCGATACCATGTTCTGAGAAATGGGTTAATCACAGGCGCCGAGTGCCCACCCCCAGGCTCCGGCTGCAGCTCAGAGCGGGGAGATGGGGAGACATGTCAGCCGTGTGGAACAGTGATGCGCGGGTCAATGTATAAACAACCCGCACACTACCAACGTTTTCAACTACCCGCCCGCTACTCGGACCGCAAGAAAGTAAGAAAATATTGTACCCGACCCTCTTCCAGACCGTATTTTTTAAAAGTAGTACATGCTCATCGTAGCGTCATTGGGCCATAACGTGTAACAACACAGCATCGCAAGAAGACGTAGCCTACATATAACAAAGGCAGCACTTTGGTCATCATCTTTCATTATTTCGGTAAATGTCTCCCACACTTACTCTTTCTATTTGTTTATTTGCGGAGCTTCCACTCCCCAGTCTTCACCTTTTCTCTTGCCGCCTCCATCTCTCTGCAGACTAGTGATCATAGACATGGCCGGTTCGTGAACGAATCGGTTCTTTTTAATGAACCGGTCGAACCAGTACGCTAAATCGAACTGAATCATTCGCATCAGTTCACGTCTTGCGTCAGTGCTGATCCACAAGGTACTACAGTTACTCACTTTCAGACATGCCTGACAGTCCCTCCGAGTTGAAATAAACCAATATCCCGAATTATATTTTACTCCAGTAACTCTAACAGTTCACTGAACTGAGACATGTTGTTGATACTGCTGATACTGCGCATCCGCGTAACGAACGCAGAGGTACAGCGGTTCTCGGATCACACCAGTACAGAACTGAGAACTGTTTAGAATGAGCTTGTGTGTCATCTTCGTGCCAGTTATTCAGCCAATAAATAAATTCGGCCTATATATTTCATAGAAAATTCTATCTAGTACTATATAAATACAAAGGTTTAATTGGCATTTTTTTCCAAACGACCTGACCGACCGCGACCCGAATATCATTAAAAATATTTTTGGATGACCCGTAACTGCGGGTAACCGCGGGTGACCGCGGCGCAGGCACCCGCTCATTTTGGATCAACCCGTGCATCACTGGTGTGGAACAATTTCAAAGTGAATGGCTTTGGATTAGGAGAATAAGTTTACTTGTAGTCGCCAAGTTACTTATAGTCAGTTGAATGTCTGTTGGGGGACCAAATAAATAAAGTGTTATCAGATATTAAGCTGATCGTACTAATACTCTAGTCTACTAATACTCTAATGACAGTTAGTTGACACATGTAATTGAAAAGTTACTTATAGTTAGTAAAGTGGACTATCGAAATAAAGTGTTACCCAAGTAATTTAATCAAGGACCTAAAAACCCGTATATAAAAATATTTAAATCATGTTTTTTTTGTTTTTTTATTAAGTACTCGGTATCGGTATCGGCGAGTACTAAAATGCAAGTACTCGTACTCGTACTCGTTTTCCAAAAAAGTGGTATCGGTGCATCCCTAATTTTTTTGATAACTTTTGTTAATAAAAATTAAGTTGAAAGAATGTTTCAAGAACATCATACTTTAAATTACATTCTATGAACATTAAGGAAACAGGACATTTTTGTGTTGTTGGAATGTTACAAATCAACATTCTTAGAATATTGAGTTGTTCATTGAAATTAAGTTGAAAATGTTTCAGGAACATACCATCCTTTAAAAATAATTTGGCATTCGACTAACATTAAGAAAATTGGACATTGTCACGTTGCCATAAATAAAATGAAATGTTTGGAACATAAGTTGTTAGCTGGGTTTCTATCAGTATATTTTCAGAAATCTCGAGAAGCTGTCTGGCTGAATGGCAAGGAAAAACAGATGGTTTGTTACCCTAAAAAATGAATAAGGAAATACTTTTCTAAAGAACTAGCCTGGTTAGACATTTCATTCCAGTTACACTAATTTACATATCCTCTCAATCATTCTGTTCATTTCAATAATTAAAACCATCGTTACATGTATGGTCTATGAATTATTAAAATAATAAAGACAAAAATAGCAGAAATAAAACATTCATACTGTATGCAAAAGGTGACCTTAGCTCAAAGACTTCCCCATTAAAGTTCCCAATAACCTTTAAACTCTTTCACTTTCTTACTGTTAAAACAGGTGATGTGAAGAATGCAAAACATTTTCCTCATCACATTGTGTATATAAACAATTTTCCGAGTAGTTTAGAGCTCATGACCGAACTGATGATACAGAGATGGGGGACGCCAGTACTCAGGTTTGACTTCACTACTTCTAAAAATATTACTGTTGCACTATGTGTGTACATTATGCTTGAATGTGAAAATACATTTGACGCAGAATGAGCATTTTCAATTAATTCCAATTAAAGTTGAGCTTCATGCTTAAGTAGTAAATTGTGTTGAGATTTGTTTGCAAATATCAAGTGAAAAACACGGTTGGCAGCCAATCGTTGTGAGGTTCAGGTAGTGACATCTGTCGAGCATGTAAAATATGCAGATTGCATCTGAGTTTATGCTAGATTTAGTGTGTAACTCAAATTATTTAGAAATTTAATGCTTTGCAGTTGTCATATATAATATTGCAGTGTGGATACTTTCATTGTGCGCTGTAAAATATTGCCATTACAGGATTAAAGAGTATTATTTTAAAATAAATTAATAGTGAGAAATTTACAGTGAAGTTAATGCATGCTGGGTATTTTCTTACGAATTACTGTTAATCAACAGCAAAATGATACTTATACTAGAGTAATTTACTTCTCTTGTTTACAGTGAATTCACATGATAAAGTTGTCATTGACAATGCCACGATAATACATTTATTCTTTACTAGTGTAATTGCTTTGAAGTCACCATTATGAGGTTAAAGGGTTAGTTCACCCAAAAATGAAAATTCTGTCAGTATTTACTCACCCTCATGTTGTTCCAACCCCGTAAGACCTTCGTTCATCTTCGGAACACAAATTAAGATATTTAAGATATTAAGATCGCTCCTGCATACAGTCCATAGGCTTCTTGAGGGACTGGCTCTTGCTGTCCCCGAAAAGTCATTAAAGACATCGTTAAAATAGTCCAAGTGACTACAGGGGCTCAATCTTAAGTTTATCAAACGACGAGAACACTTTTGTGCGCAAAAAACAACAAAAATAACGACTTTATTTCAACTATTCACTTCCTTCTCCATGAGCCTGTAAGTCAGTTAACGTAGTGTGATTGCGTAGAGCTACGTCACACGTAGGCTCACTATTGGCCGACGCTGGTCATGTGTGTGTGATGCGTGTGACGTACAATAACAGAAGCTTACGCTATTAAACTAGTGACCAGACTCGCGCAGAGGGAGAAATAAACGAATAGTTGAAATAAAGTCGTTATTTTTGTTGTTTTTTGCTCACAAAAGTGTTCTCGTCGTTTGATAAACTTAAGATTGAGCCCCTGTAGTCACTTGGAGTATTTTAACGATGTCTTTAATGACTTTTCGTGGAAAGCAAGAGCCAGTCCCTCAAGAAGCCTGGACTGTATGCAGGAGCGATCTTAATATCTTAAATATCTTAATTTGTGTTCCGAAGATGAACGAAGGTCTTACGGGGTTGGAACAACATGAGGGTGAGTAAATACTGACAGAATTTTAATTTTTGGGTGAACTAACCCTTTAAGTCGTTTGTCATGGTTGAAAAAACAATGGCTATCTAAACATCTTTGCCAAGTACAAACCAGTACAAGTAATCAATAAATTATCGAGGAGAGTCATGCCGTTTTTCACAATAATTTTCGAGGGTCATCGAAAAATGTATTACTGGCGAAGGGAGGGTCAAGTCTGTTTTGACTATAATTGATTATATATTTGATTGTTCCAAGAATGTTCTACCAACCAACGTCATGAAGACATTTAAATATATATATGCTTTTGTGATAACTTTGAGAACATTATTAACGACCAGTTAACTTTGAATTAATGTTCTATTAATTTTACTGGAAGAACATTTGTTCATAATTTGAGAGAAACTTTCAAGAATGTTAGCCAAAGGTCTAATAAAGTTCTGTGTTATCTGGGATGCTAAAAAGTGTTACTAATGGTAGTGTTGTCAAAAGTCGGTACTGAAATATTAAAAATGTGAGCATTTTGATCGCTGTTGAGTGATCACAATGGACATTCACAGGTGTTTACAATTCTGCTCAACAGCACTCAAAGCATCATGTTTAAAATTTCTGTACAGACTTCGCAATGAAGTTGGTACTTTTGACAACCCTAACTGATAGTTAACAGATCAAAATTGAAAACAACAAAATGGTATCAACTGTAAAATGTAAAGATTCAGACATGAGTGATATTATTATTTCAGACAAAAACAAAATAACCAAAGTAAATGAAATGTGTATTTCTTCAGCAGGCAGAAACCAAGCACTGTGAAACACAAGAAGTCACTACAGATCAACACATACAACAGGAAGTCTTGACTAAAGAAATGAATCTATTTCACAGACTTCATCTTGAAGGCAGACTTAACAATAAACTGGGAGCTGCTGATGTTCTTCAGTTAACATCTGTACATTCATTACAGTCCCATGAGTCTTGTGCTGAAGAGGAGCTGAGTCAGACTTTCATACAAAAACTACTGATGATGAACTACAGAGCAAGATACATTAAATATAAAGAGACCAATGAAGAAAGTCACAATGAACAAGGCACCAATGACTCATGTAGACAAAAGGCAGATTCGGATGACTTTTTTTTTAATTTAGGGTCATTGCCTAATAAAGGTATTAGTAAATCTGAACGAATCCACCCGATGGACGTTCAGATGGCTGTGTTTCATTGTGCTGATGGTTTCCTGAAGCAGTTGATGGTCACTAAACTGTCCCAGTGTCAGTACGCTCTGCCTCTGCTTGTTCCTGATCCATTCACACGACAGATTGAGTTTCCTCTCTGGACATTCAGACAAATCAACAAGAGCTGGAAGAAGAGAAACACCAACAATGAGACCATCAGTCAAACCTATCCGGTCTACAAGGCACAAACTCCAATGGTGTCTTTCTTCAGGTTTGGCTCTGTGTCTTCATCCAAGTCTCAGCTGATGAACAGTCTGATCAATGAGAAACACGACACGTTCTTCCACAGGAACTGTCCAGGCAGCAGCAGAACCAGAGTCCTGATGGATGGAGTGGTGGAGATCGCCTGGTTCTGCCCCTCTGGATCATGTGATGATAAATTCACGGACTGTGTTGCGTTCTCTAATCTACACGGTGATGCAGGAGATCATGAGAAACAGCTGAAGATCCTCACTGAAATGGCCTCAGTCAATGTTGTTCTTCTACCACAACTTCAGAAGAAAGACAAAAACATGATAAAACTTCAACAACTCTACAAGGACTCAAAGCCACTCATTTGTCTTTTTACTGATGATGATACAGCTCTAACGGTGAGAGGAAAAAAATATAGGATTGGTCTGAAAAACAGAAATCAGTCAGATGTGTCTGAAGAACTCAAAAGAGCTATAAATGAGTGTCTCTCAGAATCATCTTCCACTTTCAGACTTGAAGATTTGTCCAAACACTCAACAGACATCAGAGTAGATGAGGAAGATGATGAAGACTGCAGGAGAGGAAGAGAAGCAGCACAGCAGATGATGAGTTTACTGGAGAAGAAAGATCTGATAGAAATTAAAGACTCATTTCTGCCTCATCAGGGGAAACTGTGGCATCAGTGGAGTCAGAAGAACAAAGAACTACATCGACCTCGAGCAAATGAGACAGAAATGGATATCAGTAGAAAACTAACAGAGATGAAGAAAATGCGTGAACAGCAACATGAATCTGACATCAGTGAGTTTATGAAGTTCTTCATTAAGGAAATCAACACAGATACTGGAGATAATATGTATTTTATTAAATGGCTCGGAATCATCCTGGATGAATATATCTCAGCTGACCTTTCTGATCTACATCGTAAGTATAATGAAAAATGGTCGGTAGTCTTAAAAATGAAAGAGAGTGATGAATCTGAACAACTGACAGCTGAACAAGCAGAACTTGAGAGAATATCTGAGGATCTTCAAACTGCAGGCTTTGGTTTGGAGCACATCATGAGGGAGATCGGTCAGATCTACGAATCATGTTCATCTGTGGAGAAGAACAAGAAAGATCTGCCGTTTGACTTCTCTTCTCTCCCGAGTCTCGCAGCAAAGATGATGATCTCTGGATTTCCACTGGAGCTGATGGATGGAGATGCTGCTCATGTTCCTGTGATCTGGATCTCTGCTGTTCTAGATAAACTCATCCAGAAACTGGGAGACCAGAGAGTCTTTGTGCTGTCAGTTTTAGGGATTCAGAGCTCTGGGAAATCCACCATGCTGAATGCCATGTTTGGACTGGAGTTTGCCGTCAGTGCTGGCAGGTGCACCAGAGGAGCTTTCATGCAGCTGGTCAAAGTCTCAGACGAGATGAAAACACAGATGAACTTTGACTATATTCTGGTTGTTGATACTGAGGGTCTTCGTGCTCTAGAACTGGCTGGAAGATCAACAAGGCATCATGACAATGAATTGGCCACATTTGTTGTTGGTCTTGCAAATATGACCTTGATCAACATCTTTGGTGAAAATCCATCTGAGATGCAGGACATTCTTCAGATTGTTGTTCAGGCCTTCCTGAGGATGAAGATGGTCAGACTGAATCCCAGCTGTGTGTTTGTGCATCAGAACGTTTCAGACATCACGGCTGGAGAGAAAAACAAGGAGGGAAGGAGACGACTGCTGCAGACACTAGATGAGATGACAAAACTTGCTGCAGAAGAGGAAGTCTATGATGCAGAATGTTTCAGTGATGTCATTGAATTTGATATTCAGAAAGATGTGAAGTATTTCGCTCAGCTCTGGAAGGGAAACCCACCAATGGCACCACCAAACCCAAACTACTGTGAGAATATTCAAGAACTAAAGAAAACTATTGTGTCTCACGCATCAAATTCAGATCAAACGATGCTGAGAGACTTAAAAGATCGTATTAAAGATCTCTGGGAGGCTTTACTGAATGAACGATTTGTCTTCAGCTTCAGAGATTCTCTGGAGATTTCAGCCTACAGGAAACTGGAGACCGAATACAGCAAGTGGTCCTGGAGTCTTCGCAGTGCCATGATGGAAACTGAGAACAAACTACACATCCAAATAGAAAATGAAGCAACAAATGAGGTTGAGGAAACCAATCTTCAAACAGAACTGAAGAAGACAAGAGATGAAGTGGAGAAATCAATGTCAGAATTTTTTGAGAAAGACAAAGATAAAGATATACTGATTCAGTGGAAAACATCATTTGAAATCAAAATCAAAGAGCTTCAGGAAAACATTGTGAGAGAAACAAAAAAGAAATTAAATGGGATTCTTCAACAGCGAGACCTGAAGAAAAAGATTGACGCTCAGAGGAAACATCATGAGAACGCTCTCTATGAAAAGAGCAAAGAACTTCCCTTAAAACTCAAAGACAATGCACAAGATGAAGAAACACTGAAGAAAGAGTTTGATTTGTTTTGGGAACAGAATGTTGATAGCATTGTTTCAGACACTCCTTCAATCAAATACATTGACATAATGAGAGATCTGAGAGAGATCCTCAATGAAGTCTATGAAAGTGCCCCTGTAGACCACATTAAAGAGAACAGTGAGTACACCAATATTTTCACTGTGTCGAGTTATTGTGAATATGTCATTTTCAAAAAGTCCACAAAAAAGGGGTTTAGAGTGGCTGCAAAGGGTGCTTACAGAAAATTTAAAAAAGCATTTGGATACATTCAAACATTGTCTCCAGAGAAGGAAGCTCAAATCAAGTCATTAATCACAGATGTTGACCAGCAGACAGACAAGATGATTCAGTCATTTAACATTTCAAAGATGGGCTACAACATCAGCTGCATTAAACAACTCATAGATTACATCAAGGAGAGAGTAACACAACATCAGGAAGAATCAGAGAAATATGAGTTCAAGAATGAATTCTTCATTGATTTGGTTCTTTCCATCTGTGAGAAAGCAAACGAGACGATCACTGACCAACACAGACTGTTTAAGGAAGCCAATGATCCTGCGATATATATTGAAAAAAAGAGAGAAGAATACTATAGTATTTTCCAGAAACAATGTCATGAAGCAACATCTGGTGCTATTTTTGGAAAGATCATCTGTCAGAAACTTAAAGAGTCCATTGAACAGAGTGTCTACAAGAAGACTGCCAGAGATCTGACGTATGAAATAATGAAAAACTGTGAATCTCTGAAAGGAAACAGATTGAATATAGAAAAACACATCCTGAAAACACTGGCAGAAGAGGAGGATTTTGTCAAATACATGGATTACATTATTTATCCTAGCCAGCACTTCAAGAGTTTCATCAGAGATGAAGTCAGTCGGTACATCACTGATAAGTTCAGTGTCAGTGTATTACCTAAGATGGAGAAGAACATTAAACTCCTGCAGCAGAAGATCATGAACGCAGCACATGAATCTACTGAACATGTTCAAGAGAACAGAGGAGATGTTGGTTTGTGGTTGAAGAGTTTCACACAGCAGCTCTCAGACGTGCTGATCTTCTCTGAAAAAGACCTCAGTGGAGTCAAACATGATAGTGTTGAGGATTTCAACCTCCTAGAAGATGTGATAAGAAAAGAACTTCCTGATATAATGTCAGACATCAGCAAGAGATTCAACACAAACACATTCCCATCAAATCTGGACTACAAGATCAGGCCAGACACGATTCTGATTGGTCACTTCTGTCAGTGCTGTTGGGTTCAGTGTCCATTCTGTGGAGTCACCTGCACCCACACCACAAAAAACCATTATGGAGATCACAGGGCTCCCTTCCATCGTAGTATTGGTCTGAATGGAATATATTACAATAATACATCCAACTTGTCTACTTATATCTGCACATCAGCAGTAGGAAACAGTAATCTACATTTTCATCCCAATGATTCAGATGATAACTTCCTCTGGGGAGATTATAGAACAGCAGGAGGAGTTTATGCAGACTGGAGCATCACTCCCGATCTCTCTGAGCTGCCCTACTGGAAGTGGTTTGTGTGCAGATTCCAGAAAGATCTTGAAACATACCACAAAAAAACTTTTGAGGGGGAAGGAGAGATTCCATATGAATGGAGAAAATACTCAAAAAAGGAAGTTATTGAGAGTTTGGATCAATGAACAAGTAAAATAAGTTTCATTTGACTCACAGAACACTTTGAAATTATTACTATTGATCACTTTAGTGAGTCTGAAATCATATGAACCTCAGTGCACAGAATACACCAGGGAGATGAGTTAAATATTTGAAGTGTTCTGTTTTAAAAGTATATTCCTCACATCAGTATCTGTCAAGCGATCTCTACTTAAATTATCTGGTCCAGACAGCTCTGAACTCAATTTTTTTTTCACTTCCTACTTAAAATAACTGAAATGCAGCTCAATCAACCCATCCTTCAAATCAAGTCACCTTTATTAATACAGCGCTTACAATACCTTCAAAGCAGCTTTACAGTTATAACAGGAAAACAATGCAACAAAAGCCTAATTGTCATTTGAGACAAGACACTGGCAAATAATTAGCATTTTTTTCAGTGTCATCTTATTTTAGTTCGATTTCATTTCATTTTAGATTTAGGTTAGCATTTTATGTGCCAAAGTTAATTGTTTAAATTAAGTTTTTGACATTTGTTGTGGAGGAACAAGCAATCATTACCACAAAAAGCGTGAACTGTACAGCCACTGCTTACTTAAGTCCTGAGACAGTTTTGTACACCAATGCCTCCTTTAAAGGCAAGGAAGTCAAGGATACTTCGGGCTCGGCTCAAAGATTATGTGAACTTGTGATTTAAGATTATTTAAATATGTTTAACACTAAGCCGCTCTTTAATACAGTTATAACTATGCAGTGGCAATGAAGGGGGGATGTGAAGGTTCTAAACTTATGGAAATACAATATACTCTGTATCATAATCAAAAACTATTATGTTGTCATTTTTATTTTAGATATATTTGGAGTTATTAAAATGGCTAATTTACTTTAAAGTTAACCTGAATAAAAAGTATAAAAACACAAATGTGATTTCCAATGGTACTTTCAGTACTATCCAATAAACTCCTACAAATGTATCTTTGTGTCCAACTTTCTATGGGATGAAAAATTAAAATGTATGAAAATAGTAAACCTGTATACGTGTGTGATTGTGATTACGTACAAGAGGAAAAAAAATAAACTGAATGTATTCATCTGAATTTGTTTACCTATGTGTGTGTGCCTAACAAGCTCCAGAGCAGGTTTAGTTTTAGGCTATGTTTACACGGAAACGATTCTGAAGAGAAAACGCAAAAGTGGCGTTGTGTTATCACTTTTTATTCTGCGTTTTTTATTCTGCGTATCACTTTTTAGACGAGCGTTTTGGGTGGGAAATCCGCGTGCATATGATGACGCAAAAGTGTGTGAAATTCAATGTAGTATACACTCCAGGTGGCTAGGAATGCATACTACAACAACACCAAGTCCGCGCGCCTGCGTACAACCTTCACTGTCAAGCAGACTTTTGCGTTTTTACCCTTTACACAGGAACGCGATGGTGGAGCGTTAAGATTTCCACTCTGCAGAGTGGTTTAAATTTTTTGCGTTTTTAAGCCCCAAAAATGCCGTCGCCGTGTAAACGAAAGGCACATCCGATAAAATATTTTTACGTTTTCACCCGCAAGCGTTCTCGTGTAAACTGGGCCTTAGGTAATAAATCTTTAACCGAAAATGGACCAATCAGTTGTGAGCATTAAGTGACCATTGTCCACACCTAAAGGATTATTAGGAACACCTGTTCAATTTCTCATTAATGTAATTATCTAATCAACCAATCACATGGCAGCTTCTTCAATGAGTTTAGGGGTGTGGTCCTGGTCAAGACAATCTCCTGAACTCCAAACTGATTGTCAGAATGGGAAAGAAAGGTGATTTAAGCAATTTTGAGCGTGGCATGGTTGTTGGTGCCAGACGGTCTGAGTATCACAATCTGCTCAGTTACTGGGATTTTCACACACAACCATTTCTAGGGTTTACAAAGAATGGTGTGAAAAGGGAAAAATATCCCGTATGCGGCAGTCCTGTGGGCGAAAATGCCTTGTTGATGCTAGAGGTCAGAGGAGAATGGGCCGACTGATTCAAGCTGATAGAAGAGCAACTTTGACTGAAATAACCACTCGTTACAACCGTGGTAGGCAGCAAAGCATTTGTGAAGCCACAACACGCACAACCTTGAGGCGGATGGGCTACAACAGCAGAAGACCCCACCACTCATCTACACCACAAATAGGAAAAGTAGGATACAATTTGCAAGAGCTATGGAAGTAAAATAATGCCAAATGTCTTTGAAACAAAAAGCCTGTTGAATTGTAGGCTACTTGAAAAAAAAAATATGCACTGCATTAACCCTGCTTGTATTTTAATGCATTGTATTTTCAGGGCTTGCATTTTTATGGGCTGAAATTTAGCATGGTTGAATATTTAAGCTATGATTCAAAACATTTTCATAAGTAAAATTTGGATAATCCATATTATTCACCTTTCATAACTTACCTCTAAAATATTCAAACTGATTAAAAATACAACCTATAATATTCAAAAGGCGGTTTTCGGTCCATTTTACTTCACATTCTTATGAAATAAAGTAATTTCATTAAAGTAAAATAAAATAATTACTTTCCATTAAACCGGAAAACAGCATGGAAGTATCATAAAAGCAAACCTTTATATTCTGTATGGGACACTTGATCTATCCCACATTAAAAGCTTTAGTATCATCTACAAATACATTTTCAATCCAAGTTAAAACCAAGTCAATTAACCAAGTCTAAATGTGTGTTTTAAGCTGTACATGTTGACAGAGTCACTACAGAGTCGGCACACTGTCCTCTGGCGGAGAGACTGTAGAACTGCAGCTCCCGATATTACAGTAGTCGTTCTTATTTTATCCAAATCTGGGAAGTTTATGTTGGTCAGACACCTAACGCTCGCTTTCTTTTCACATATCGGGCCAGGTCGGGATGCAGATCTCCTCAGCTACCTTTCTATTTGACCTGCACTCTTCTAGCATTTCAAGCCCTCTCTAAGAGCTGTGCTGCCACTCCCCTATCTGTGGTCCTAAATCTTAGGAATCCTAAATCTAAATTTTATTGTCTATGCTATGATTGAACTCTGTTACTGCATACTACACTACCAGTCAGAAGTTTTGGATCTGTAAGATTTGTAACGTTTTTAAAAGAGGTCTCTTCTGCTCACCAAGGTTGCATCTCAGAAGGTGAAGCACTGCTACTTGACCGGAGTGATTTGCGCAACACATCTGCGAACTCTCTGCTCCTCACCACAGTGCGTCTCAACTGCGGTAATCACTCGCCCAAGCAGCAGTGCTTCGCCTTCCGAGAATATAGTTCCCAGTGCCTATACAGTTAAACGATGGCTGTGTCTCATATGACCTTGTTATTTGTACACACTGTGACTTTAAAAATCACAACATGTAAGAAAAAAATGTTGGCGTTATTTTGTTACTTATTGGGATTAGTATGCTAGCTGGAGCCATTTACTTCCAGTCTTTGTGCTAAGCTAGGCATGCAGTGAGTTTGTCAGACAGAGTTACAGGATGCACGGAGATGAAAAGGGTATTTATAGACTTAATGTAAATCACACAAAATTATTATCATAAATAAGAATTGATAAAACCCAGACGTTTTGTCTTCAAAAATCATTTGCTTGCTATGTAGTGACTTAGTGACCGTTAATTTGGAGTACCACTTTTCTCACAGCTGATAGGTCAAATTTAGTTTTGAGTTCAGATTAGCAGTGGAGCGTTACTATGGTGATGAACACTAAACAAACTAAACTCCAACATACCTAACGGTAGAGATAGGATTGAGTTTGGGATTGGAAGTAGGTCAGGGGCCTATACCATGAAGCCGGTTTAGGTGGGCTAGTATGTTTTAGTTTAGTTTTCACCCTGGGTTTTAGGCACCATGCAAGTGGTTTGGCTTTTAGCACTGCTGATGTCACGCCTAAACTCAGCATCAAACCCTGAGCTGACAGAGAAAGTTGATGATCAGCATCATGCTACCAACAAAGCTTGGTTGGCTGGGTTTGTCAAGTTGAAACTAATCATGTAACTTTGAGTTTGTCAAACTCAATGGTCCGGCCCCGGATTGCAGCTTCTAGGGCGGTCTAGGGTCCCAGAATCCGGCACAACAGACCCCAATAACAACCATACCACGAAGAGATATCACAAAAGTCTGAGTCGATAACATGCCATAATACAGTACACGTGGCTTATGTACATTTCAGAAAACCACTTGAACACAAATATGATACAAATAGTGCTTCACCTGGCTGCAGCGAGCCATCAGTCGGCATCTCACTTCAAGTTCGTAAAGAGCTTTAATTCAGTCCATTTTACAATCTGATTTTTGCCGTCTCTCAGTTTCTCAGATGGGTCAAACCAAAGATATTACCTCAGAACTTCAAGTAAATGAACTAGAAATCCACGCTAATTCAAGGGTGTGCATCTATTGCATGGACGGAGAGAAAGCACTGAAATCATCAGACATCCATTAGTGCATGCAGCTAGAGGGAAACAGCTGGAAACACAGCGCTGCGCTGGTTGTTCTCTCCATAATCAACACGACGGAATCCAACGGCGTGCACGGGCGAAGGTATAATACATTTATTAAATTGTATAAAATAATCCCGGAAAAGCACAAACACAGCTGAGGGTGACGCTAACAGACAGCAGACAAACGACTAGCAGTGAAAGCAGCGGCACCGGTCACTCAAGTGGCCACGCCCTTAATTATGCAGAACTTATATATATGCGTTATATATTATGCAGAGGCTTAAATATAATTTAAACAGATGAGTTGTAAAAAAAAAATGAGCTCTATAGACCAAAGCCACTTTTTGCTCCAGGCTGTAAACATGTTTTTTTCTGCTGTAAAATTGGGCATTTTAACATGGGGGAGATACAGATTTGACTCGCTTCTGCAGCCTGCCTCAAGCGGCCACTCGATAAGTTGCAGTTTCATTCACTTCCGTGTTGGCTTCAAGACAGAGACGGGGAGGTTGCCGCTTGGGTAGGATGCATTAGATATGTATATAAAGGCTAGATGTGTTACGGCAGAGTTTCCATTGTCATCACCGGCGGCCATCTTGTCACAGGTAAGCTTATGTAAGATGAGTGGTCAGCACGAACACAAATACTCTTATCTCATTGAAATCTTGACAGATTTACAAACGTTTTGGTTTCTTACAAACTTTATTAACGTGGCTATAATTCTGGATGATTATTTATTTATACACTTATTATTCATAAGTATGCAGTGTCATAACTACATCTCTGACGTTTATAACAAAACAAACCGTTTGAAGATCTGTAGAAAATTGAGCAAGTTATGGTCATTTAAATAGTACATGTACCATTAACACAATGTTACGAGTGAGCGAGCTGCCTGTGACAAGATGGCCGCCAGGTGCAGACGTCGATCTCCATTGGCCAGCAGCGTGGACGACATATCTAGCCTTTATATAGATATCTATGGGATGCATTTATGTAGCCTCTCTTTCTCGGCAAAATGAAGGGTTTTTTTGGGTGAATTTGGCCATCGCTTTTGAATCAGGGTAGCCTTCGTCGCGCCGCGATGACGCAACCAGCCTTCAAATGTGCCCTTCGGAGGGTGCAGCCTTTGAATTGGGACAGTCTTCATAGCGCGGATGTGACGCAATCGGCCTTCAAATACGGCCAAGCGTCCTTTAAATACGGCCTTGTCGCATCAGCATCTTTTGGCCCCGAGTGAAACTCAGGACGGAGGTCTAGTTAGAAGTTTCCCCTCAGAGCGTGAGTCCATCTCCGGCACGAGAACCAGCGCTGATTCGGTGGATATTGGATAACAGACCAGTTGATTAAACTAGAATAACTTGAATGTTTAACGTTACTTCTAAAATGTTTGTTACATGAGTTATGTAGGGAATAATGTTTATTTTAAAACCGTATACAATTCGCTGTATTGCTGACTGTTCTCATCAACAATAAAGGCCAATGTCATCTACCAGTGGTTGTATGGAATATTTTTTTTTTACAAAG